GAAGTGAATAAAGAACGGGCGCGAACATGGGAACAACTCAAACGACCGAAGTTTTTCTTGCACAATTGAAATGTTTTCTTTTTGGTTGTGTTCTGCCATTTTTTCAATTGTTCCCCCCCATGCTGTGCCCTCGTGGGAATGTCACCCTGGTTCACCTCATGCACGGCTAATAAATATACTCTATGCTCTGCGCCCCCTAAACCCAGAATGCTACAGACAAGGCAGAGCCCCAGCCCCCCAGGGCCGCAGCAGGGCCCTATCCAGTCAGCATCCGGCACTACTACGGCCAAGGAGATTTTCGCTGGATGATAGGGCAGCCAGGTCATTGCCAGCTAAGCTGACCCGGGCCCCAGTACTATCCGGCAGCCTGGGATGTGCAAGAAAGACCCAGATTTAAGCTGTGTACCCTCTACCTGAACGGACGTCCAACGTATTGGACACGGAGCCATACACAAGAATAGACCAGACTGATTTGTACAAATTTTGTCTATTGATTTTAAACGGGAAATGTTGGTATGCAGAGGAGACACTAAAATAATGGGTGCGCTCCCCGCCTCCCCTTTTAGTCGACTCTTAAGACGAGCAGGGGATACTGCGGTCTATATTCTAATGCCAGAGCCGCACAGCAAGACTTTAGATACAGTGAGTAGACAGTTAGTAGGTATCTTATTTACGTTAAACAAAAATGCAGCAATTACTTTGGCGATACTGCAAATAGGCATCTCAGTAATGTACACCAAGATGTACCATTCACTTTTGTATTCTCAAAATAGATATCCCATTTATGTGAACCAAATAAATTGACTATTAGATATTGCAAGTAGACATCTCATTTACTAGAAACAGGTGATGCAACATTGACTTTGGATATTGCAAATAGACACCCCATTGATTTAAACCATAATAAAACATCGACTTTGGATACTACAAGGATATTATCATTATTATTATATTATTGTTTTTATAATAATAAAACAATAACAACCAAATCAAAACAAATACAATATACTAATTTGACAGTTTACAATCAGGTGATCTTTTGTTTGCAATCCGAGTGACGTCAGAATGTGATGGGAATATGCCGTTATACGCAAAACATATGTATCAGTGGGCGCGTTCTGCGAACATGTACCGGTGCACCGGTGCAAAAAATGTGTCGTTCTGGAAGACCGGTGATTTAACCTGGCAGACAGCTATTTCCTATTTTTCCTCCACCGGTGCAAGATTTATGCACCGGAGAAATTGTGCGGTTCATAATACACCGGTGGCCTCTGATTGGTCAGTTTCTTTGACAACAGTTTGCAGCTACGGCAAGATGGCGGGTCTACCGAATAATGTTCATTAGTTTTATAGGTTATGTTGCGTAATGAGTGAAAATTTGTTCAATGAGGGGGTTATACTACGTAATAAATAATAATTTTCAAATATTTTTCCCGTCTGTTTGTTTGATTTAAATATTATAAAGCAAATAGTAGGTGAATGTTTAAATTATAATCCGATGTGCACCGTAAACCGGTGACTAACCGTTCTGGGATACCAAAGACTCTTGCCCCGGGGCGGCCGGCACCGGTGAGTATAAGTCACCGGTTAATCTGCACCGGTTGACTCTCGAAAAGGTTCGGCTCAATATTACAAGCAGACTACTGCGATATGCAAAACACATTTTGTACACAGTTCATCAGGAACGCATTGACCAGTAAATTTTATTGACTTTGAAGGTAGGTATATCAAATTGTATGTTTCAAATTAGGTATGGGAGTTTATAATAGGATAATAACCAAACTAAAACACCGTCTCTTGTCTGCAGTCTAGCCAAACGTGCTCCTCCTCTGAATGATGAGCCGGTGAAGTTGTTTGGATTCACACTCGACCAAAAACTAACCTGGAGTGACCATATAGACCAAGTTTGCAGTAAACTATCGAGGCTGCTTCCTGGCTTCTGAAACTGAGATATCTGGTCACCTGTTGAGCATGTATCACGCAATTTTTCATTGCCATGTGAGCTATGGTATTGCTGTGGGGACACGCACCCGTGACCGAAGAAATATTGATCCTGCAAAAGAGAGCTCTGAGAATAATCATCTACGATGATTTGGCTCACTGCAAGCCTATTTTTGACGGGCTGGGCATACTTACAGTGTTTAGTCACTAAATCCTCGCCTGCATAATACGTGTTAGACAGTATTGAGGAGTTTCCTACCAGAGCAGCAACACGTACGCACGTCAACATCTTTACTAGGCATCGTACTCGACTAGATGTCCCTAAAGTTAGGCTGTCAAGGACTCAGAAGGCCTTCAGTAATGGATCAATAAATTTATTCAATATAAAGCTGCCAAACTCCATCCTGCACCTTGAAAAAATTAAACTCTTTAAGATGGTTACAGCGTATCTCAAAGACAAAGCCTAACTTACTACCGGTACTCGCTGAAGGAGTACTTTAAAGACCCGCTATTAGGCCTAGGCTGAAGTATGCCTGTCCACAGCCTCAGTTTTATGTCAATTGTATTTGTATGTTGTATATGCGTAAATAAGTGATTTCAGGTTTTTAATGGCGCCATCAATCCCCTATGAGGTAAAAGATGAAGAATCGGTAATAAGGCAAGTAAGTATTCTCCTCATACTATTAAACGTTAATGTTACAACTATTGAAACAAAATGTTCTCTATAACCATAGATAAAACCTTTGACTATTATAAAACATACTCCCTTCGTGGTGGTTGGTAGTCTATGCTATAACCAACGCTGAAATATTCACGCGCAAGGTCGTTTCCCTTTCTTGTTTTGGCACCGTGTTTCCGAGCGTGATTTTATTTACCTCTTCCGTTCAGTAATCCGTTCTGCTTTTTACTTTCTCCCTCTATACCATAGTATATGGAGAAAGTATTGTTTTCGTCAAAATTTTCGAGTTTGAGTTTTGAGTGGATATATTCCCCCTGGACCCAAAAAAGTTTTCGAAGTGATGTCTGTGTGTGTGTGTGTGTGTGTGTGTGTGTGTGTGTGTGTGTGTGTGTGTGTGTGTGTTTGTGTGTGTGTGGGTGTGTGTCTGGATGTGTACAGAGCTAGGGACTACACCTGTGGTCCGATTTCGATGAAATTTGGTATGTAGGTTCTAATCCATGGTATCTCCAGGCGTTTTTTTTTCATTTTTTTGAAATTTTGATTTTTAATGGGGATTTTCCCATAAAAACCCATAAAAAAACTTGAAAAATCTGATTTTCTCGAAAATGGCCCGAACGATTTTGATAAAAATTTAGTATATTGTAGCCCTTTAAATTCTGAACAAAATGGTACAAATCCCATTTCTGTAAAAATTATGGTTCAAAAGTTATGGTAAATTATGTTATTTTCCCATAAAAACCCAATAAAATAACGAAAAATAGGATTTTAGAAAAAAATCCTGTTTTATTTTAACATAGTATGTTATGGTCCTTAAAGTTTTGATAGTTTTTTCATTTTTAAAAAATTTTAATTTTTAATGGGAATTTTCCCATAAAACCCCGTAAAATAACAGAAAAATAGGATTTTCCCAAAAACGGCCCGAACGATTTTGATAAAACATTTGTATGTTATAGTCCTTTATATTCTGAACAAAATGGTACAAATCCCATTTCTGTAAAAATTATGGTTCAAAAGTTATTGTAAATTATGTTATTTCCCCATAAAACCCCATAAAATAACGGAAAAATCAGATTTTCACAAAAATGGCCCGAACGATTTTGAAAAAAAATAGTATGTAGTCCTTTAAATTCTGAACAAAATCGTACAAATTACATTTCCGTATATTTACTTTCACCGCTTACACATGATAAAGGTTGTTGACAAACTTATGGGAGAAAGTATGTGTCAGAATGCTGATACCGTTTATTCTTCTCGTCTGCTGAGTGCTGAGTGCTGACTTGTGCCCGTGTGCCGTCTTCTCTTCCAAACACACACACTCTCTCACTCTCTCTCTCTCCCTCTCCCTCTCACTCACTCCCAACCCATCTCCCATCAGCACAATTTGTTTTTCAGGTTTTGCCGACAGCGTCATTTAGAGGCTTCTGATTGACTAACTTATAACGAAGGTTTAGTAATTGGAAAATTATTTTTGTTCATAGAATAAAATTATAAATGCCTCAAATTCAATTATATATTTTTTTTATTATGAAATTAAACCGTCATAACCTAACCAAACCAACCAAACGTGCTGACAATGAAAAAATCTAATGAAGGTTTATTAATCGAAAAACTAGCTCTGTTCATAAAATAAAATTATAAATGCCTCAAATCCTATTTTATTTACCTTTTTGGTATATAAAATTAAACTATCATAACCTAATCAAACTAACCAGACTTGCTAATAATGAAAAATCAAATGAAGGTTTAACCGAAAAAATATATTTCTGTTCATAAAATAAAACTATAAATGGGTCAAATTCAATTTCATAATGTTTTAATTATAAAATTAAACCGTCATAACCTAACCAGACCAACCAAATTTGTTGATAATGAAAAATCCAATATAAAAAACTGGTGCTACGGGTGGGATTCGAACCCGGGTCCTTCGGATCATCAGCCCACCACTCTATCCACCACACCACCGATACCGTAAAGCACGGGTCACACTAGGCTGTTTGCCAGCCGCTGGTGATCAGCAGCTGGAACCAGCATCACCGGCCTACCAATCCAGGCTGAGTCAGCTCAGTGTCAGCTGCGAATTTTGTGGTCACATTAAGCTGACAGTCGCGGCTTCTTTCAATTCGCCGCTGATGCCAGCCTAGTGTGACCCGTAAGGATCAATTAATTGTATCGTCGCGGTATGTTCCCTCAGCCAATCAGAAGCCTCAAAATAATACTGTAGGCAACACTAATCCTGAAATAAAAATTCAGCCTCCCATCATAATCTTCTTCTTTCCTTTATATTCATTCGATTCTATTTCATTCCATTCCCCTTGTCGTAATGAAATGATAGCAAAATAAACGGCACCTGAGAAATCTTCCGTGTGCCGTTTCGGCAAAATAGGCCTAAATTGTAAAAAAATAACAACAATAGGTTTAGGTTAGGTAAGGGTAAGGTATATAATTAATTGATTACAGATTGATTGTGATGATATGGTGAGGTGGTGTGTTGATGTTTGGAAGACAGTGTTGGTGAACATAACTTAATTTAATTCGTTTTTAGGCCTACTTGTTGTCTATTGCCAAGTTACTAGGCAGGCATGTAAAATGTAGGCCTAGGCCTATTAAAAATTTATTAATTGCGTTGGATAACTTATCTTGGCCAAAAAATCTTGTAAATATTACACCTCTAAATTGAACATTGACCTATAAATAGCCATTTCTAATGCTTTTCAACATTGCAAATACCGGTACAAGGCTAATAAAAATAGACTAGGCGTAACTTAAGTTATTTTAAAGTTAATCAATTCATTTTTATTTTATTATGATTCTTATCAACTTAAGAATAAGTTAAGGTGTCTAGCCTCTACCCTCTCTACACTATGTCAATGTAGGCCTAGGCTATGAGGTTGTGATTTAGCCTACATTCTGAACTGTTGAATGAACGAAGACCTGTGTTTTTTTTCTGATTTTACCAAAGAATAAAATAATAACTTACTTCGGCTAGGCCTATGATGGAAGTCAACAAGAATAATGACTCAAAAGAAGATAAGAATAAATTGCCTGAAATTGGTAAGTTTTGTTGCCAGTTTTCCATTCAACTTAACATGTAGCATAAGTAGGCCTATTAAGTTAGCTTAAACTTAGGCCTACTTAAGTAAATTTCTTTAGATCATTAGTTTAAGTTACGGGTACAGTTTCTTAACTGAGCTACCTATGCTAATATTGATTGAAACTATGAAATTGAAAATAGGCCTATTGATTAATAGGATAGGCTAATCAATATTTTTAATGCAGAGGATACCGTACAGTTTCTTAACTGGGTAATGCTAATGTCGATTTAAACTATCGATTTGATTAGTAAACCTTCATGCGATTTTTTCACCATCAGCATGTTTGGTTGGTTAGGTTAGGTTATGATAGTTTTATTTTATAATAGATATATTTAAAAATATTGATTATTAATCAATATTTTCAATTTGATGGTTTCAATCAATATTAGCATAGCCCAGTTAAGAAACTGTACCCGAGGATACACGTCCGGTAACTGGACGTGGATTAGGCGTCCAGCAGTTACTCTCATAACCTAACCTAACCAACCAAACTTCACTACTAGGCCTACCTATATTTTTTTGCATTCATAAAAAGAGCTTAATCTGGACCAAGGTGTATCTTAACAAAAAACTGTGACTTGCAATGAGAAGGAACTGTAAAAGTTGTATCACAGACAATGTTGTATTGTTTACAGTTATGTTTAAGTTTTAAAATGGCATATTGAAACAGCTTGAGATAAGTTTATTGGATCAACATTTTGTGAACTCTTTAACTTAGGCCTTACCTTTTTTAAATGTAACATTTTTACCAATTTAGAAATCTCTAAGTTAACTTATCTTGAAAAATGTTCAAGATAACTTATAAAATAATTCTCAAAAATCACAAACAAACAGAATTAAAGGCATTTTAGACCTATACTTGTATGCTATTTTATACTTGTCTTAGCTTTTAAGGAACAAGTGCACAAAATATGTCCAGACAATGTGGAAAGGAAACACCCTGTACCCTAGCTTGAGCTCGATTTATAAAGGTACGGCAGCCTACATAAAAGCTAAAAAGTTTGTGAAGTAACACCATTGTCAGAATCCATCATCACCTCGGTATCTCTTGTTTTCCGTAGGCTGACTTAGGCCTATATCACCTTCATAATTCTATCCTCGCTTACCCTAAAAACTCAATAGGCCTAACTCAAATTTTATCATAGCCATTTCAGATTTGAGGTATCGAGGTCCTATTGTATAACTTTTTCTTGGATATGCTTTGTGTGAAATTTTGTTTCTTCATCAGTTGAAACCCAAATACAGTGTAGGGGAGAGTGGGGTACATTTGAACACTATTTAAACTTAAATTTTTTAATAGGTGAATTTATGTGTTTTTAATAAAAACATTATTACATTTAGTTGTAACATAATGTTAGCTTTAATTTAGTTATTTTTTAATCCCTCCAAGTTAACATGTTAGTGTGCAATATCTGTTTTTACAAAGGTATGCAAATCGTTCAAAAGTACACCACTGGTGGGGTACTTTTGAACAAGAAGTGGGGTACAATTGAACACACGAACTAATTAAGTAAAATGAAAATTTTTATTTTACAGAAATTGTTATGCATGTGAGTTGATAAAAGCAGTTCTTATTTCTATTGGAACTAATTCTTCATTTAATGTTTTCGATTCACATTATTTGTAGCTAAATGTTGCAAAGTTAATAGCAAAATTATATTCGTTCGCTGCAAGTGCAGTTCTCACGCTCATTGTTGGTTGAGGAAGCTTATAGTCTTAAATTATTATTATTAATTACTATCTTTTATAGGAAGTAAATATAATCAGTTGGGGGCACATTTGAACAACATGCTTACCAGAGGAAAACATGGTGTTCAAATGTACCCCTCAGACTCCTGTTCAAATCTACCCCACTAGGCACCATCTTACAAAAAGTTTAATTATGTTTTCTTGAATTGTAATTTATCAATGTGAAATGCATAATTATCTAAATATGTGTAAGCCATAAGGTAAATGGATCAAATTTATCTGTGATGTAGTTTTTCTGTGGAAAATTTACAAATCTCCACTGCTAAAAAAGTTTTCTTGTGGCGCTCTAAAACTTCTTTTCCCAACAAAAAACTAAGAACTGATCAGAAATTGAGGGAGATGAATGCAACCTGTTGTCCTACTTGAGGGCTACATTTTACAGCTGGTCTAATGGCCTGCGAGTATAAAACTGACAGCAAATTTAAACCGTTCAAATGTGCCCCATGTTCAAATGTGCCCCACTCTCCCCTACTGTAGAGTATAATTTGTCAAATGATGTAGGTACTTTTAACTGGTGGCTGCGTTTTCACAGTTTCCATCTAGGAGGAAAACATTAAGGAGAGGGCACGCGAATAGGAATACACATGTTGCGGTGAAGCCAGCTTTAGCAGAACACTAGAGGGGCACGCAGAGCCAAAGAGTGGCAAAAAGCCTCAGCTATAATATGGGAGAGATAGGAAAAAACGCGACGTTCGCTGTTTCAAATTAAAATTGCCGCTAAACTAAAACACAAGCTGTGTTATTCACCGATGGCATTCTTAAAGTAAATTAAATTTCCCATCAAACGGTGTCAATAATTCCTATAAAAACTATTATTTATATATTTTTTTTGAAGACCAAAGTTGAAAGAATTGTCCTGGACTTTGAACATATGATTACTTTACATACCGTACGGTAGGCCTATATTTAAAAGAGGTAAGTTATTTAGAAAAAATATTACAATACAATAACTTTTTTTTAATAAGTTTTTTTTATTTTTCCAGTTTATAAAACAATCTTACTAATTATAGGTTAAAATGAAAAATTTAATTCAGGTGGTAAAATACATTTTAAATTTGAATTTTTTATGGTTTCCTCAATTTGTTAATATAATTTTTAGCGAATCCATCCCATATAGGGAATAAGCTATTACCGTAGTACTCATGGTAAGACCTGGACCCGGGACTGATATAATTTTTCATTTTGAGGTCCCTATAGAGGCCCAAAACACCATCCGTTCAATTTCATTATATATATATGTGTGTGTCCGTTAGCGCGATAATTCGAGCAAAAATGATCCGATTTTGATGAAATTTGGTACAAACGTGTAAACCTACGTTTATTCAAATGAGTTCGCGAACCAGCATAATCGGACCATGGAAAGGGGGTTTATGGGGGGTTTTATGGGGTAAAAATGGGGTTGTCCCAATTTTTACCTTAAAAACAAAAAATTTTGCAATTTCTTTTTAAAACTGTTTTGTAGTAGCTTAAAAAAAGAAATAATTTAGTATATTGAAGTGCTGTTGTATGCCTAACGGTCACAGAGAAAATTCAAAAATAGTGTAATTTTAAATTCCCGGATGTTATTCTTATGGAGAAAATGAAAACTGTTGTTTTACTTGTTTATGGATATAGGTTGATAAAATTTGGCAGATTTATTTATTTCATCCTATACTAATTGACATATGGTTAAAAAAAACTTTTTACCTTCCCCGTGGCAGCAAACCTAAGCACTTGTTAAATCTAATGTTATTTAAATTGGGAATAAATATGTCTTATTCATATGGAAATAACTTATTTTAGTAATAATGTAATCAGACTATTCGCTTAGTCTGCAGGTTTGCTGCGGCAGGGGTATTTACTATTTTTAAGGCATTTATGTGATAGGCAGGTGATTTTAAATACCGGTAGCCAAAATTAAGAAATAATGCAAAGCCGCTCTAACTTTTTTTACACCAACAGCCGTTACAATTAAATTACAAACATAAAAAGTAAAACAATTTCTTGGCAATCAAATTCTTGATTTTTTAATATCATGTTGAACTATATTTTATTTGTTTGCCCAAACAAACTTTGAGTAAAAAGTGTAAATGTTCAACAATCATCGCGTCTTCTGACGCCTAAGTGAGTTTATAATTATTTTAAAGGATGAAAACTTATTTGATTTCTCAAGAAAAATTTTCAAATACCCATACGCTACAGTACTGCTCATGATTTGAGTTTTAATTTATGAACAGTATCTTACTAATATTATAAATGTGAAAGTTTGTGTGTTTGTTTGTTTGTTTGTTTGTGTGTTTGAAGTTCAATCACGCATAAACCACTAGACAGATTGGGCTGAAATTTGGCATGATGATAGCTTACATTCCCGATTAACATATAGGTATATTCTTATCTCAAAAATCCTTTCGGGCTCCGCCCCAGTGGCTCTGTAATTCCCCATGTCAACCTTATGAGTATTCATATTTAAAGGGAACTAGAGGTCGTCCAGTGGTCGAAACTCGACCAAAAATATGTAATGTACTCACTTATCTATTTTCACCCCACACTGTAAATAAAACATGTGATTGGAGTTTCCTCCATTTGTTTTGATTTTCTGTTTATATTTCGTTGTTATTTCGTAACCAGCATAGCAACGCATAAGATCCATGTTAATTTTTTCAAATTTTTAAACTCATTTTTTGTGCTTATCTTTGAGCCTATTTAAATTTATAAAGGGATTCTGCACACCTACAGGAAAATAGCTTTCCAACGGTATTCGTAGATTTTCCCTACGATTCACACGAGCTGAGAAAAAAGGTTTTAAAGAAACATGCTTGCCTATTAATATATAGATAGATAGATTACAGAATTTAGTCAGCTGTTTCAACTAAAAAAGTTGGTTCTATGATATGGAAAAGCATTAAAAAGTTATAAGATTTACCAACAGGGTGCAGCACTATATTTTTTTTGATTTATGAAAACAGCTAATTTGAACTAAGCAGCAACAAAAAACTGTGATTCGCAATGAGAACTGTCAAAGTAGGATTGTTTACAGTTATGTTTATGTTTTTCATTTCATGAATAATTTGTCATATTTTGCCAATTGTTGATCATTTATTTTTCTCTATTGTTTAGGTGAAGTGGTAGAACATTATGGCTATGGTAGATGTGTAATACTATAGAATACTGTAAATTTAAAAAAGCAAATTTTACCAAACAGTGTCCTCCCTTATTGCAAACGCAAAGCTTGAGTATAACTGCAATAATTATTTTATACTTATATTCCAACCCCGTACTAAGGACGGGTACTCTGCTAGTTATAAATAATACACAATAAGTATGGCAAAAAATAACAACAAGGAAAAAAACAAGTCGTCCTTGTGTAAATTACTCACCTTTGAATGTACTAATGGTTCATAAATATGACTTTCCTCTTAATAGGTTCCTAATATTACGGTTAGAATTAACTTTTTTAATTTTTGTAGCATGATGTAGTCTAATTTTTAAATAGTTAATGGATATTTTTGTTACCAAATCTTCCAGTAACCCATACAACGCAGAATGAGAGCGGGGCAGGAGAGTAGCGCTGCCTCCCCCCCTCCACAGTACGCTGGCTTTAACGAATCTACAGCGTGTCCTCTCCTTAATGTTTAATCCTCCTAGGTTTCCATAGCTGTACAAACTCGCTACATCGCCTTCACCTCCCACAAGTTGTGAATGTGGTACCGGTAATAAAATTACTGAGCCAACAGGCTAGTAAGTTACATTTATATGGATTAATAGGTGTTAATTTGTCCTCTTAATTTTTTTTCAGAAGACGAATTCAATTGGCAGGATTATTTGGAAGCCACGGGGACAAAAGAAGTCCCTGATACCATGTTTACTCATGTAAGTAGGCCATTGTTATTTTCACTAAAGAAATTATACAAACTTTTACAAACCAGTTACCTTTTAAAGTGTACAATTACGGTACCTAAAACAAAATCACACCCTATTTTGTTTTTATAGTCATTTACATTTTCCAAAAATTTATTGTTTTTGGCTTCAGCAGGTATGAATGTAGTTGTAATTAACTACCTACCGGTAACTTACCTTTGTATGCTTGATTATATACCGTAGGCAAATATTTAAAAACAAGTTTTATTTGACATCGTAAGTTATTGCTTTTGATTTTGTTAGCAGCCAGTAGAAATTATTTATTGTGATCCGAACCGTCACAATTTGACTCAAATTAGTTATAATTGGTGAACTATATTGTACTGTAATTTTGATCCTGAGCTTATTTATTATTTGTATCAGTTACCATTATTTGTATCAGTTACTTTTGGTTTTTCATCACCCTCTCATAAATGTTGCTAGCAAAGTTGCCTAGTCAACATATTATTACCTGTTCAACCTACGTACTTGGTTCTAATTGTTTATTTTATATTTGATTTATTTAAAATTTAATTTGGGATTTTCCACCAATAGACTCAACATTGGATATATCGGACGTCTTACATTGCAAGTATTTTTTATAATCCTATACTTACAATATTGAGATAATATATAGTCTTGGTCTTCGGGGTTCGACCGCGTCCTTAGGTTATGTACACTATGTACAGAAAGTTCCAGAACACACCCACCACCATCAAGAGGGTATAGAGCCCGGCCCACCCGTGCCAGTTGAGTTTTGTGACTACGGTGATAGTGCTCGCTTGCCCTGAAGATGGTTCATTGTTATGTGGCTGAAACGTTTGTAGTTTCTGTACATAACCTAAGGACGCGGTCGAACCCCGAAGACCAAGACTGTATATATATTAGGGACGACCGTGGAAGCCTATCCATGAAAATATTGAGATTGTTTACAAAAAACAATGGGTTCATAAATGGTTAATGCAAACAATGTTAGTAATGTTACTGCTACTATTATTGTTACCAACATGGTAACTCTAAAATACTTGTATTCATAATTATTGATAACTAGCTGTCCCGACAGACGTCGTCCTGTCCTAATGTGGTTTAATGTCAAGTGCTCATTCATTTCAAGATGAACTCGCTCGCATGGCTCAATAACGTCCTGGTTGAAGTTCGTTCACTCACCTTTAGGTTGGAGCTCATTCGCTGCGCTCACTTACCTTCAGGTTAGCTCGTTTGCTACGCTAACTCGCCTGCAGATTGAAGTTCGTTCACTACGCTCACTCACCTTTTGGTTGCAAATTAGCTGTTGTCATAAATTTGTAAAAATAGTAGTGCCGCACCCTGTTGGTAAACCTATTAACTTTTTAATGCTATTGGACATCACAGAATCAAATTGTTTAGTTGAACCAGCTGTTAAGATTCTTTAATTCCATTTAAATATGAGTACTCATATGGGAAACTCCAGAACCACTGGGGCGGAGCCCTTTTGACGGATCTACACCAAACTTCACACAAACCATCCTTGAATAATGCTTAATAATGCCTGAAAGTTTCATTACTATCTGTAGAGCGGTTTCGGAGAACATAAAGGACAAATTTACAAACATACAAATAAACATACATTGAATTTTATATATACGAGGTGTTAGCCCGTCCTACGTACGGGAATTCAGTAGTCAGTTAAAACCGTGTACAATTCAGATCAGCTAGTTTACACATATAAAGACAAAGTTTCTTGCAGTTTTCATGTGAAAAATCCTCTTATAAACAAATGTTGTGTGACCAAATATGTTTTTATTCCATCATAGGCCTATACGATATGCATTTTAAATCCAAAAATTTTACAATAAAACAGCAATTCTGCAATTTTTACGATGTGAAAAGCGTTGAAGTGAGATTTGCAGCCGATTCGCACAGACGCACACTGATTATAAGTAGCCTACAGTAGAGAGAGTAATAGTCAATTGAGAAGTGTATAGACCTAGTCAACGATACCACCTTTCATAGCATACCTGCCTCTTCCATAATTATTATCACCACAATACAACTACTATACACAATTTCCAGTAGGTCTGAATAGAAACGACCTAAAATAAAGCGATAATATCCAATACAATTCATAGTACACATAATTTAACTTTGGTGTCCTAACATCAAAACTAATCGTCACACCTATCCTTTATATCAATTTCACCGAAACGGCACACGGAAGATTTCTCAGGTGCCGTTTGACGTCACTAACTGCTGACGTCACTTTGAGGGAACACCAATACCGCAACGATAAGAATTGAGCCATCGCCCTCTGTGGTGCAGTGGATAGCGTTGCGGGCTGATAATCCGAATGTTCCGGGTTCGAATCCCGCCGGCAGCATCAACTTTTTATCAACAATTTTTTTCATATCAGCAAGTTTGGTTGGTTTGGTTAGGTTATGACAGTTTAATTTTATAATTAAAAAATTATAAAATTGAATTTTAGGCAATTATAATTTTATTTTATGAACAAAACTATTTTTAGATTAGTAAACCTTTATTCGATTTTTCCATTATCAGCACGTTTGGTTAGTTTGGTTAGGTTATGACAGTTTAATTTAATAATAGAAAATTATAAAATTGTCTGTTTCTTCAGACGCAGCAGTTAGTGACGTCAAACGGCACCTGAGAAAACTTCTGTGTGCCCCACCGCAATTTCACTGCATTAATTGCTAAATAAATAAGTGTAAACAAAGAAAAGTATAAACAATAACAGTTTGTTTTGAAACAGCTGTTTGGTTCAAATAACATTCATTTGAAAAAAGAACTGGTCACATGTAGCAGGAATATAAAAAGTAAACACGCTAGTAAAGCTAATGACGTAATTGTCAATGTTTATTATCCATACCGTTATCAGTTCTATCCTTGAAAAATGGAGCAGTAAAATAATTTGCATTTATCCTTTTTCATTGAGACTCGTGTACAGAAGAGACACAAAAAGTAAAAACATCAGGAATAATAACTAATTGAAATAACATATATTTGTTGAAGTTAATGCAAATAGTAAAATATATAGGCCTAACAGTTACCTACCTATTGAGTGTGCAACTATGAATCCTTAGTGCTTGCAATGGAGGGCAATGCATAGCAGGTGCGGGTGTTGACCAACTTGTTACCCAGACAAAACCAAATGCAATACTTTCATGATGTAGGATATATGTACTTGCACTATCATAACATATGAAGGGTGCTCATCAACAAATTACTGCTGTTCTGAGTTGTAAATTATGGTATCTATATATATTAATAGGCAAGCATGTTTCTTTAAAACCTTTTTTATCAGCTCGTGTGCATTGCAGGGAAAATCTACGCATACTGTAGGAAAGATATTTTCCTGTAGATTTTTTTATCCTTCTACAGCCACAGTGCCAGAGGGTCCAGGGAGCCCAGGGTCGCCCACCCTTGGGGCTGCCCTGAAAATGGTAATACTTTAGGAATAATCAGTATCGAATTGTCTTTTATTTCATAAGAGTGAACTAAAATGGGGTTTTCAGCATATGAACGTAAACAAATGTTTAAAGTTTAAAGCCAATTAATTATAACTAAGCCTAAGTACGGTACTGCATCTTATTTACAGGTGGGACAAAGCTTACAAAATGGCTTTGAAGAAGGGATGAAATTGGAGGTTCCACTCAAAGACAAACCTGAATGCCATTGGGTTGCAACTGTAGTTATGGCCTGTGGCCCTCTTCTTAGGTGTGTATAATTGGTAAAATTGTATTATTATAATGTGACTACATAAACTGTTGAATAACTTAGATCAAATACATTTTGGAAAACAACATTCTTTTACCAAACATATCATAATCATGAATTTGTATTTAATTAAATTGTCTCAATAATAACTTTAAAAAGCCATTCCTCAAAAGAACTTGTTCAAACAGTACCGCGGTTACAAATGGGCCCGGGCCCAGGGGCGCAAGAGTTTTTTGTTTTGTTGGGGCGCAAGCAACAGACACTATTTGTAATATTTCTGAAATTGCGCGACAGTAGAATCACAGACTAGGGAACAAAATTGTTGTTTCCTCTTGTTCCCTAGTCTGTGGTAGAATCCTCCTCACTTCGATTCCCAGTCATGACTCATCACTGCCACTACTTGCATATTATCATTGACTATCCATCATAATCATTGACCTCTATGTGTGTTTGAATGATATTATGCTACTTGTTCCGCCTTATCTTAATTTTTATAGTCTATTAATTTGTAATGTCATTTTTTTATTACTCACCAATGTCAGTTCCTTTTGTCAAATCCGGCGAGAAACATATCAATTTGTTAGGCCTAGAGAATAAATTTACTGCCGTGTTTTGCTTATGATTTTATTTACGATCAACGAGTTTTATTTTACATTGTAATATCCACACCCTTTTTCTGTGAAATGAGCAAAAAACCAAGTGGCAGTGAATTTAGAAAGATGGCGGCAAAAAACATTTTGACAGTGAAAAAGCGCTACAAAAGTTTGTAATATAAGTAGCTTACAGTGTTGATAAAAATCATTTAGGCCTAATGGTCAAGTGTACAGAATGTGATGTAGCACTAAAAATGAACTTTGATGGTGTTATTAACGAGTTTTCCGGAAAAATGTAGGTTAAACCACTCATTTATGGTGTTGACGGACTGTTAAGAGTTTAAAAATGTTTGTAATTACAGTAGACTCCCTCTTATCCGGACTCCTCGGGACCGAGGCCAGTCTGGATAACGGTTTTTCCGGTTAAACCGACGTCCCCAAAACTTGTTAAAATGGACCGTTTATTGTGATGTTCGACTGAAATTTAGAAGAGCATTGTATTTAGACACGTGATCGCTGGTCTCAAATCTTTCCCACGAGAACAGTCGTTTCAGTACCGCCTGCTTCCTGCTGATCTAGTCCGGTTAAACCAATGTGCTGATAAAAATTGTCCGGTTAAAGAGATGTAATTTCCGCCGAGTGTAGTCTGGTTAAACCGATGTCCGGTTAAAAGGTGTCCGGATGAGAGGGAGTCTACTGTACATTTTAAATTAAAACAATTTAACTTTTTTAAATTCAAACCTTTTTTACAACTAAACCCATTTTACTTTTGAAAACGTACCCTTGAAAATAAAAATGTTAGTAGGCCTACTGTAAAAGTTAAACTTTGGCCTATATTGTATATTTAATTGATGGTTTACGTTTTTACTTGACTATGCGGGTAGTTTGAGATAATTAATAAACTAAAATATTTAAGTTTTATTTACAATCAAAAGTAAAAACAATATAACAAGCCTTATCGTTGTTATATGGCCGATGCACATGCAGCTTGAAAAATGCATATTTTCATTTTATGATTCTAATCAATGTCGGTGGGGGGCACAACTACTACTTGGGCATCACACAATAACCGCGGGCCTGTGTTCAAACTTCAACAATTGACTCGTTCAGTATCAAAATCTATTAATAAATTATAATAGGCCTAAGCGCAATATCAATGTAAAAATTTAGTATCAGGTAATATTTCACTGACTAAATCTCTCTGCAAGTTACAAAACTACAAATTACATGTTAATGTAAGTAGATCAACAGTGTGGGTGAGATGCAATAGGGATGGACGGGTGTCAAATTTTCGAGAAATTTGCGAGATTAAAAAATTTTGTTAGTTTGAGCGAGATTGAGTTAGCTCCGAGACTACAGAGATTGACTTAGCTATGAGACAACAAAAATTAAATGCTTTATCAAAGGAAATGCTACATCAACGCTCGTCTGTATTGTGGGTATTGCAGACACTTTCTGAAGCCGTTTTTAACTGTGTACAATTAAAAAATTGGTAAAATTGGTATAACTGGTTTTTTGTTTGAATCCGTTTTGAACCTTGTCCCGTCTTTACCATTGATAATAGGTCTAACTTTCATAATAGGTTTTACTGTATATGATATTATCACTGACATCAAAAGTAACACCGGTCAAGCTACTACAATTTTATTTTTTCTCTTGTAGATTGTGTTTTGTTGTGATATGTTAGTAGTGGTGTGCATGTTACAGTTTTACATTTAAAGATGTCCTTTATTTTTTCTTATTTAAGATTTTCATAACTATTTAAGTTCCTGTAAGAATTCCCGATAGTATTGAGATCTATAATCTCGTCTCAAATTATGACAAGAAAAAAATCCCGTCTTGATCTCATTTCAAACTTAAAATCCAGTCTTGTCCATCCCTAATTAACCATCATTATTATGACAATTTCTGTTGATTTAATTAGGCCAAATAATATTGTAATCAATGTTTTTGGCCAAAACTTGAGTAAATACTTTCTAGGCTAGAGTTATATCAAAAGACCAAAAGAGTTATATCAGATGCTTGTGATGTAGGTTGCGCTATGAGGGAGAGACAGACCGCAGAAAGGACTTCTGGTGTGACATGACCAAGGTAGTAGCTCATCCATTAGGCTGGTGTGAGGCCAATAGACATACTTTGGAGCCCCCAGACTGTTTGACAGACCATATCAATGTTTTGGAGGTTAAACAAAAACTTAAAGATGCTGTCAGTGTCCCTCCTGAACTGCTCTCTGGGGTAAGTTCTTAAAGCTAGATTTTGTAAGAGTTTATTAGAATAGAATAAGAATAAGCTTATTTTAAATTAAAAACATAAAATGACTTATTTTACTTATCTACTTACAAGGTTAGTATGAGATAACTAGAAAAAAACAAATTGTCAATGTCAACCTATTTTCACATGTTTTAGGATGGATGTACACCTGTAGATCGTATCAAGTCTGGTATGAAAGTGGAGGTGCAAGACCCAGCAGACCCTTACCGTATGTGGGTTGCCACAGTGAGTGAATCCAGAGGACTCCTTTCATCTTGTGTATTGTATACCAAAAGTAGATAAACAAAATTTTTTATTATTTGGCACCTGGCAGTGGCGTAAGTAGCCTACATCGAGTGACCCCCCCCCCCACTCTCCAAAACATAATTTCTTATGTTTTATTCGTTAACCTCAGCAAAAGCCGTGATTGCGGCAAAATCCAAAAACTCATCCGAACATCGTCATCGTTTTCTGTGATCGCAGCCAAATTTTTATATAAATATATCCGCCGTTCATGTAGACAAAATCATTGTCTCCTGCGGTCACAAAAACAATGTAGCCTAATCTTTTCATGCAATTGCGGCAAGATCATGTATATCTTCTTTGGTCTTGAAGACATTACCATCATCTCCCGTGGTCACGGAAACGGTGATTTTTTTTTGCGATTGCCGTTAAATCTTGAATATCTTTTTCACTCTTGAAGATATCATCAACGTCTCTCGCGGTCACCTAAACAACGTCATCTTTTACTGTGATTGCGGTGAGCGGTGACAGTCAGACCTTGGAGCCCCCCTGCATCACAGGGGTTTGGGGGTTTTATGCTATTGGCACTTGGGTCAGTTTTATATCAAACTAACAGTTAACCGGCGCGCGTTGCTGCGCTTAACAAATATTATTTTAAATGGTAATTTGTTCTTTATGATAAATAATAAAAATGTATACCAAGAATAAAAATAGTATATTTATTTTACTTAATTGCCAGTGGATAAACTGTTTGTGTGAAAATTAGTGATGGGCAGATCCAAGAAATTGTTGGTACCGGATCCGGATCTTGAAAAAATCAGATCCGGATCTCAGATATGTTTTTTTTCTCTTTTCCCCAAGGACCGGTTTTTTTAAATAACCCATATGGCTAGGCAATTTCACAGTATTTGTTGATGTCAAAATTCATATGGCTAGATAATGTGACAATATATGTCGACATGAATAACTCATATGGGTAGGCAATGTCAAAGACTATCTGTGTCCATATACAAGATGATCTGTGTCCATCCATATACAAGACTGTCCAAGGGGGGGGGCTATATGGGGCTAAAGCCCCCCCTTGGGCCCTTGAAAAATAAATTAAAACATACATTTCAAAATATAAATGTAACATCAGGTTTTTATACACAGTGTTATAGAAGTTGAGTTGAAAATGGCTTTAAAAAGTCACCAAACGGCTTCAAAAATAGCAAATTTTCGAAACCCCCTCCAGTTTTGGGACACCCTTGTTAGCCCTAGAACTGCCACTGTTGTGTCCATGTACAGGACTATCTGCGTCCACGTACAAGACTGCCCATATACAACACTGCGTCCGTGAGAGTAAAGAAGTCCCTTGAGCCAGAGCGATACTCAGCTATGTTTGGAGGGTTCGCGCACGATTTGTAGGCGCTATGCATCTGGGCGCCTCGCCTCAATGTCTGTCTGTAAACAACTGTTGTAAACATAATTACTCATATCTTTGTTTTGGTAAGGGGATTATCATCATGTGGTCATGTCATTTGATTCTGTGTACGTAGTGAGTTCTGTTTTGTTTTGGACTGTCCTTGTAGCCATGGATTTAAGAAAACGTGGTGCTACTATACATAGTGGAGAGAGGGATTTAATTAGATGGGTGATCGAGTGTTGTGACAACGAATGTAAAGACAAAAAGTTATTAATGCCGATAGAAAAGGCACAGAACGTGCTGCAAACTATTGTAAAGAGTCAGAAAAAAATTATTAAACGAATAAGAAAAGCCAGCAAACAAACGCCGGATGAGAAACTCTGTACACCCGGGAAAAAACGCAAGAAGGCTGACCACCATAAAGTACAAATACAGTAGAACCTCACTAATCCGACCTCTGATGGTCCGACTCCTCGCTTGGTCCGACTGCGCTGCTAACACAATAGGCTTCCGCTAAAATAACCTCATTGTCCAAGAAAAATACCCAAAAAACTTTATGAATTGTGTTTTTTTTAGTTTAATATGTTGAAATTTGTTAACAATGTCTGCCCATTATTAATATTAAGTAGGCTCCCACATTATTGTTTTTGGAAAATCGCAGTTCATTTGACAAAAATAAAATGGAAGCAAAACAAAGGAATGCCGATTAAAGCTTCAAAGTCAAGCTATCCGTTTGGACTGACAATCGTCTGCTCCTTAGGCCTACACATGACACATCTGTATGCTGTGCGCTTGCTATGTCACAACATTTTGTGATTGGGTATATGGTAATCATGACAACTTTAGTAGCCTGTGATTGGGTGTTTAGTAACCATGGCAACTTGTTGAATGGGTATGTTCCGACCATGCTCCCGGTCCCGTAGGTGACGGATTAGCGAGATTCTACAGTAGATAGCTTTGATAGGCGTCTAATCGTAGATGTAATACGCAACTTCTTTACTCTCGCGGACAGTATTACTGCTAAGAAGACTATCCATATCTATACATAGATCTTGTATATGGACACAGATAGTCTTGTACATGGACACAAATTGTCTTATATATGGACACAGATAGTCTTGTACATGGATACAGATAGTCTTGTACATGTGCACAGTTAGTCTTGGATACAGATAGTCTGTACATGTACACAGATAGTCTTGTGCATGGACCCTGATAGTCTTGTACATGGACACATATAGTCTTTTATATGGATACAGGTTGTCTTGTATATGGATTCAGATTGTCTTGTATATGGATACAGATAGTTTTGTCATAGGTGCGCACTGCGCACCCCCTCGACTCAACCCCCCTCAAGACATTGACACCCCCCTCCTCCCAACTAATATGTACAAGCTCTTAATACCGAATTTCTTGCTTCAGAATTATTTTATTGATTGTTGGGTCGGTTTTTTATCTCGGTTGTCTATCGGTTTTTAGCCAAATAACCGATAAACCGAATCCGACATTTATTGGGTCATAACAAATTTGGGGTTGGGTCAGACATTAAATTGGGGAGAGTAAGTACTCAAGTTTTCAAAAAAAGTCAAATATTTGACTATAGCCTACAAATTATTTATGAGCTGCACTGACACCCTTCATGACCCTGCAACCCACCCCCCTTCTCCACCTCGCCCTGCTTTGATCCTACGCCAGCCTACATTGTTGTTGTAAATGTATGAACTGGGGATTCAAACAAATAATGCATAGGGCTTTAGCGTAAGCAAAAGTCTTACTTTGAATTTTTAATAGATGGATAAGTAAAAGAGTTATTAATCAAATCAACAGCCTACTGCTTATTTATTACTAAGCCACATGCTAACGTTTGTAATTAAATGTGATAAGGTTTTAAAAAGAATTGTTCCAAATATGTTTTTAAAATAGTGGTGGAATATTAACCCTTCCCGGACGGGGGAAATCATGACTTAGAACGGGAAAAAATTAATTTTCTTTATTTGTGTTTTGTTTTACAAGTATACATAAAATAAACATAATGGAACACTTCATACTGTCAAAATAATTTTTTACTTGTTTTTAACTATGCGGATATAAAGAAGTCCAACTAGTTCTGTTCACTATGAGCTGTTCACACTATACCTTTTATAAACTCTAATGTTTTGTGATTGGTTATTATTTGCATGTTGTATCATGACTTGACTGCTATACAGTGCATATTTTTTTACTACTACCCTCTGTAGTGTATTCCAACTTAGGTTGGGCATTTGTGTATTGTTAGTTGTAATGTGTAAGTAAAGTTTTTTCACCTGAGGACGGGATCAGATTCCAGATCCCAAAACGTTGTGTATTGTTCTAATACAGAATGTTGTGATTATTCATACCGACAAAACAGTTGGTGAAAGTTAACATCTGCTTTAAATTATATTTATTTGTAAATATTGTAGTTCCAAAATTCTAACATTGGACGCCTTAAGACCCTCTGGGGCGGAGCCCTTTTGAGGGATCTGCACCAAACCAGCCTTGAATAATGCTTAAATAATGCCTGAAAGTTTCATTACAATCTGTCTCTTCGGAGTCTATAGGGTATATACATACATACTTCGTTTGAATTAAGTTACGTCAATTTTAATTTTAATATTATTAAATGATGTTACTATTCAAGTGTTGTGACACTCACAAACTGTTTGTAGATAATTGAGAATGTTGGTGGACGCTTGTTGCTTCGCTACGACATGCCTGAAGGAGTTAGTTTAAAAGATTTTTGGCTCTTCTACTCATCTACAAGAATCTATCCCATGGGTTGGGCAAATGAAAGAGGTACAGTCTTAATAGTCTATTGATCTTAGTATTTAACTTACTATGATAGTTGTTTTAGTCTATAGCCTACAGAACTTAACAAATATTAGATACATGAACTTACCTAGGTTAACAGTTCACACAATGGCTCCAAGTAATCATCACTCGCATAAAACTAGTATACTAGCCTATGTGCTACAAACATAGACAAAATTAGACTGTAATTAATTAATTAATTAATTAAAGTGTTCTGTATTAGAATGTAACAGTGCCAATCATTCAAACTAGCAGGAGTCAGAGCCTGTTTATATTACCACATTATACAATATGATACGTTATGTGCCTTTGTCTGTCTTCAGTCTTAACAGTAGTTACTAGTTTTGTAGATTACAGGACACAGGATTACAGGTGTGGTTTAGTAGATTACTAGTTTTGGGTCAAAGATCCATTTTCATCAATTCAATCAATCGGTCCACTAAATCCGACAGCCGTATTCATCAATATAAAATACACATTGATACATAAGCTGACATTTAAAACATTTTAATAAATGGTAGACTGGCCACATCTAAACATGGGACAAACCGAAGTAGGCTGCACAGCGAACAAACTACTACTGTTTTTAGACTGTAGATGGACAAAGCTACAAAACCTATCATATATTCGTACAATCAGTCTTGGTGGCAGGAATGCTTACATTTCTACATAGTTCAGATAAGCAGCAAATGCAGTAAAAATACATGAAAAACACAATGTTTTTTATGACTCTAAATTACCATATATTGCTACAACGATAACAAGAACAAAGGTATAATTTCCTACAATCATGGCAAACTTGTATATATCCTTAAATATCCACTGCAACTGCTGCAACACCCATGATCATCTCCCACTATTGCATTCTTCCTGCTACTCAACAATCTTGAAAGGGATCAAAGGAAATGCCTTTAATGAACACCGACAATCCGCTCTTAGCTATTGGAGATAAGTTCTAAATTTCCCTGTTCCATATTTTTTAATTTTACAGTATTTTGCATTGGTATAGGTCGGCCATGCAAAACTTAAGTGATTAAGAAAATTAAACTCATATGCAAACAAACACCCTTAAATAACAGAACACATTCAAATCATGTAATGTAGCAAAAGTGTTAAAAATATTTGATGAAATTAGTGATGGGTCTTTCTCAATTAATGAAACATCATCACTGTTTTTCACGGTCGCTACAAGGTCATAAACATTAGTGATGGACAAGACCCGAAACTTTGAGATTTTTATCTCCAAGCTTCGGGCGGGATTGAAATACTTACGGGATATTTTTGAGATGAGATTATAGGCCATTAGCTAATCATCCAGGTACAAAACTAAAAACTAGAGGTGTGCAGATATCCAAAAAATCGGGTCGGATTCGGTTCAGCAAGATTCATGTCCTTGTCATATAAGTTATTTGCATCAAGAGACAAACACTGAGACATGGCTTTGCCATATAAGTTATTTGCATCAAGAGTCTGATTTCCGGACACGGAAAGTAAGTAGTGGACCCCCAAATAAAAATTGCTATAAAAAAGGATTTTTTTAGATTTAGCTCTTTAAACTTAATACGTAATATCTGTATTAATTTTCTCATATTGTTATGTAAATTTTATTATAATACCAAATTAGGGATGGACGAGATTGGATTTTTAGTTCGAGACGAGACGAGACGAGATTTTTTATTTCTCATAAAATTTCGAGACGAGATCGAGACGGGATTTCCCTTCTCATACACAACAGGAAATGCACGTTCGGAATTTTTACCTGATTTTGTAACATTGTTAGATGACTGTTTAAATACAAAAATAATGATAATAGGCAAGAATATTTACTATCTTTTATTAAAAAACATCAGCATAACATTTTTTAATTAATCACACCTAAATTATTAAAAATGCCTACGATTAGGAAACATAGTGATATCAGTTAGGATAGAGTTCAACTTATCCTAAAATAAAATAAATCATAAAAGAAAATATTAATTTTTATAAAATAGTTACTTGTTTTGACTTTTTTATAGTGATAAAACATTCCTCACACTGCTAGCACTTAACAAAACTTCTCAAATGTTATTAAAATAATTAAAGTAATATTTATATTTTTGAAGAATTAATTAAATAAGAACGCCTTCGCAAAGGAAACGCAACTACAACACACTCCTGTATTGCGGGTATTGCATTGACTTTCTGCAGGCGTTTTTAATTTTTTTTTTTTTTTTTTTTTTATTCTTGTCTCGATAAAAATCTCGGCCAAAAAGAAATCTCGTCTCGTGTAACGAGATTTAAAATTTCCCGAAATTTCGAGACTTGACCATCCCTATACCAAATCCTTTAATTGATTTGAAACTAATAGTTTGAACCCTTAATTTTTTCATTACGAAATGAGTTATTAATACTAATTATGATAATAAATCTAAAACACTACTACGCACGCGGGGGTACACTGGATCCCCTAATGAACCCTGTACTGGTAACACAAGCACGCGCGTAGGGGTATGCCAGACCCAGGGGAGTGATAACAGGTCAATGACTTGGTCAAGACCAACAACCCTGCAGCCAGATGATAGCATATGCTTTTTTAGGAAGCTACTGTTATGCTCATCGGGGTTGCTAACATACTTGAACAATTATTGCAAAATATACGTACGTGGGGGTATGTCATACCCTCGCGCGCGCGTTCTAGGGTTAAGTAAACTTAAAACTTCAGCATTTAAACTAAACATACTCCCTAATAATATTCTCGTATAGATGTATCATCCTTATGGATCAGCTTAAGACAAGATACAGTCTGTATGATTTAAGTAAAAGGCGTATATTGTTTCCAAAAAGATCCTTGTTATTTATTTAATTTAAAAACTATTAAACTGAATACAGCTGTCCATGTGTAAATTATAAGAAAGAAAAGATTGCATCAGGAATTGTAAAATCTACCCTGAAATAAGAGAGAAACATTGAATCAAACACAAAACATGCATCAACATCTTTGTATGGAAATGATCATCTGTATTACTCATCTTCCATATCTTAAGGTTTTGGAAGTGAGTTTCCTGTTCATTCATCAGACACTTAGTTGAGCATATTAACCTGTTCAGACTCAACCACTGGTCAGTCTTTAAGCAACCCATATCAGCTTATAACAGGTTAGCCATGATTTTCAAGGTCCTCCATGGGTTCTTCGCAAGCCAAGCACCATCTCATCAAATCACAAAGCAGATGAGTGGCAAGCAGTTCTTGAAAGAAGTAAAGCAGAAGCTGCTAAACTACCATTTCCAAGAGATATTCTGAACAAGGTATGTCATTTATTTTACTATCTCATATATTGAAATGTGAGAGGGTTTTTTTTTTATTTGAAGTTACTGAACCATCCACTTGACGGATTTTCATGTTTTTGGTTCTGAAAGAAAGATAATTTTGAAAGGAAAGGAATGTCATAGCCATTTTTTTAAGGCTTTAAAAATTAAGTTTTACACTGTCTGTTTATATATTAAAATGTTGGTTCCAAAATTAACCTTAACTATACCAGTAGCTCTGTAATGTTCAGAATCTTGGGCACTGACCAAGGAATCCGAAAATCCTCATTATTGTGTTTGAGAATAGTGTCCAGAGAAACATTTTTGGACTAGTTAAAGATAATAGAGGTTGAGATGTGAAAAAACAGAGAGCTAAATGTATAGGCCTTAACACCCAGATATAGCGATGCTTTCCAAAAGTAAAAGGCTCGGATGGGCAGACTATCCGTGGTGGAGAGAGGATACGTTGACTTTTAAAAGAGTATTGCAAGGAGTATCACAAGGTAGCACTTGGAGGATTAAGAATAAAGTGGAAAGTAATGGAATAAATCTCCAAACTGGCGTCTACATTAAAAGAGGTAGGTGACAGAAGAAAATGGAGTTGTGTTAGTTGGCGTTGCCAAGACCCTCTTAAGGTTTCAATGGCCATGGAGGTAAGATACGTTTAGTAATAGTATTCAATGGAAGGTGGTATGTAGCTACATATAACCAGTGTGGAAATTAGCCCCCAGTTTTACTTCAAGGCACACACTTTTTTACATCGACAAATTTACTGTTTTACTGTAAAATCGTTGGATTTAAGAGCATACAGTTTATAATTGAATAAAGAAATAGGTGGCAAGGTAATTGTTTACAAGCTAATTTTTCACATAAAAACGGTGATAATTTTCCTTTAAGCGGTTATTTTTTGGTCTGCAGCTTTTGAAATAAATCTTATATCAGAGTACATTTATATTGTGTCCTAATTAGTAATAGGGTTATGTTCATCGACGAAAGGTAGTGAATGTTCGAGATTGTGTTGAGTATGGCGTAAAATATGAGTGTCTGTGAAAATATTCAATTTTTTGAAGTTATTTCAGAGTTTTCAGGCTAATCTAGGTTCTAGGGTGTTTTATGATTTTCAAAATGAAATATGAAAATGCGTGATGATAGTTGGTTTATAAAGTTCTACCATAGAGAAAGAATATTTTACATATTTCTAGATTTAATGATACCAAGGTTTGTGTACATCCATGAAACAGAAAAAAAACTGATTTTAATTTTATAACTATTATTTGGCATTCTATTTGTACCCGGACAATGCCAGGTATATATTTATTTTTGACCTTCATTCTATATTGAATTTTTTACCTTGGGTTATGGGTATGCAGAACAATCATTAGTCAATCAATGTCTATTCTTGAACGTTCAAAGTTTTTATACCTTTGGAGAAAAACTTGTTTGTGTTAAATTCAGTTTATCATTTATTGTTTGGTATTATTTGTATTTTTCATGGTATCTAATGATTGTAATCTGTTATCACTAGTCTCGCAAGTCACTGTGTCCTCATGATGTGGCTATTGGCAACAAGATGGAAGCTATCCACCCTGGCAACATGACTGACATCTGTCCGGCTACTGTGGTCAAGATATTTGACAGCTATTACTTCCTTGTGGCCATTGATGTGATGGGAGTCACAGAGAACCATCAACTCACATGGCTTGCCACCTCCACACACCCCTATATATTTCCTGTGGGTGAGTTTGATGCTTAAATAGTAATTTAAAAGATTGCCTATCCCTACAGTGTTACACTCTTCAATATTTTGAGAACCTCCTTATCTGATGATTTATGATAACAATATGGACTGCTCGAGTCAAACTATTATTTGTATTTCTGATGTACATTATAAGAACATAACTACATTTTAATTAGGGATGGACGGGTCCCGAAATTTCGGGAATTTTTCGGGAAAAAAATATTCCCGATTATCGGGACGGGATTACATTTGATTCGGGAATTTTTTGGGACGGGATTTGTTCCGATCGCCGGCGATTTTGCCGCTTAGCGAGTGCCGATGACGCCGCTATTGCGAGCGATAGGTCCGCGAACGCAGGAGACGAAGTCGTTTCGACGATTGCGCCGTGACCACGGAGTCATAACGACGATCGTGCCGTGACCACGGAGTCATACCGACGATCACGCCGTGACCGCGGAGACATACCGGCAATCGCGCCGTGACCTCGGAGTCATGCCGACAATCACGCCGTGACCACGGAGTCATACCGACGATCACGCCGTGACTGCGGAGTCATACCGACGATCGCGCCGTGACCGCGGAGCCATACCGACGATCACGCCGTGACCGTGGAGTCATACCGACGATCACGCCGTGACCACGAGTCCTTTTGACAAGTTCCTATAGTCACAAGTTCCTATAGGTACCTGAAAAATTGTTACCCATTTTTTGGTTTTTATAGATCAGTGCCACAAACGGTAAAGATTGATTTCGTATGCCTTTTTTGGTAACTGCAATACTCAAGCCATACCGACGATCACGCCGTGACCGCGGAGTCATACCGACAATCACGCCGTGACCGCCGAGTCATACCGACGATCACCCCGTGACCGCGGAGTCATACCGACGATCACGCCGTGACCACGGAGTCATACCGACGATCACGCCGTGACCACGGAGTCATACCGACGATCACGCCGTGACCACGGAGTCATACCGACGATCACACCGTGACCACGGAGTCATACCGACGATCACGCCGTGACCGCGGAGTCATACCGACGATCACGCCGTGACCGCGGAGTCATACCGACGATCACGCCGTGACCGCGAGTCCTTTCGATCGCGAGTCACAAGTTTCTATACTTACCTGAAAAATTGTTACCCATTTTTTGGTTTTTATAGATCAGTGCTACAAACGGTAAAGATTGATTTCGTATGCCTTTTTTGGTAACTGCAATACTCAAGCCATACCGACGATCACGCCATGACCGCGGAGTCATACCGACGATCACGCCGTGACCGCGGAGTCATACCGACAATCACGCCGTGACCGCGGAGTCATACCGACGATCACCCCGTGACCGCGGAGTCATACCGACGATCACCCCGTGACCGCGAGTCCTTTCGACCGCGAGTCACAAGTTTCTATAGGTACCTGAAAAATTGTTACCCATTTTTTGGTTTTTATAGATCAGTGCCACAAACGGTAAAGATTGATTTCGTATGTCTTTTTTGGTAACTGCAATACTCAAGACTTTCTTTTTATGCACAGAAAAAAATCCCGTCCCGTCCCGTCCCGAAAATCGGGAAGGAAAAAAAAATCTTGTCCCGTCCCGTCCCGAACTAAAAATTCAATCCCGTCCATCCCTAATTTTAATGGTTATTAGATTGAGCACTACATTGAAGTGGGAGAGAAATATGACTGTCAGAGCGTAGTAAACTTTGTAAGGGGTCTAGGGAACGAACTGGCAGTTAAAAGGGTTTGTATTGAACATGAAAATCGCTCCACCAATGAGGTAGTTTAATTGGGATTAAGCTGTCTTTAACAATTCATACATCAGACAATATTTGTTGCCAACATTCAAATAACAGGGTTTCTATATAAAGTTTTGTACCCAATTTCAAGTAGGGTGTACAGTAGTCAGGAATAATGGAAAAGTTAGAAATGGTCTTGAAAACTCGGGATTTATTCTTGAATTTTAAAATGGAAAATGAGTAGACACCCTTAATTATGTGCAGGTGCCAGCTAGAAATCGGGTTAATGGCATGCTGGGTATATGTGATGCTGTGTTGTATAGGATGGGCGGCTCAACATCGGCTGAAGGTAACTCACCCTCGAGGCTGGACGTGTGGTGAGGATGAGTTTGACTGGACGGCGTATCTGATAGCAACAGACAGTGCTGCGGCCGTGTTGCCACCACGAGCAGTAGCCACACACGGTGTAGAGCCAGACATGAAGCTAGAGGCAGTAGACACTGACTGTCCACACCACATCTGTGTAGCTACTGTACGCCAGACCACTGACCACCTGCTCTGGATACATCTAGAGTCCGTCAACACACTCATACAGAAGAACATCAATGAGCGGTTCTGGACATGGTCTGTATGCCCAAAGTACAGACTTTCATTTTGTTTTTATTATTGACTAGCTGTACCCGCGGGCTTTGCCCCGTTTTACTTCATAAGTGAGCTCGTTCGCATGGCTCAATCACGTCCTGGTTGAAGTTCATTCACTACGCTCACTCACCTTTAGGTTGGAGCTCATTCGCAGCGCTCACTTGCCTTCAGGTTAGCTCGTTGGCTACGCTAACTCGCCTCCAGGTTGAAGTTCGTTCGCTACGCTCACTCACCTTTTGGTTGCAAATTAGCTGTTGTCATAAATTTAAAAAAATAATAGTGCTGCACCCTGTTGGTAATCCTTGTAGTAACTTTAATGCTATTGAACATCATAGAACAGAACCAACTTGTTTAATTGAAACAGCTGTTAAAATTCATTAATTCCATTTAAATATGAGTACTCATAAGGTTAACATGGGAAACTCCAGAGCCACTGGGGCGGAGCCCGAGAATCCGATCAGAATAAAAACAACTTAGTTTTCCTATTTAATGCCTAAAGAATCAGTGTACCAAATTTCAGCCTCCTAGGTAAATGGGAAGTGGGAGAATTAGTGATGAGTGAGTGAGTGAGTGAGTCAGTCAGTGAGGGCTTTGCCTTTTATATATATAGATAGGCCGATTCCAGAATTGGTCTATTCAGGGTTTTGATTCTCGATTCCGCACTCTATACCGATACCTTTTAAAAAATCATTTAATAACACACATAACTTACTGTGCTTCTCGCTATCTTTTAAATAAAGGAGCATGTTATTTTTATTTAATCTTTATTCAATAAGATAACTGCATTGTTATTGATTAAGGTTACATGGATTAGGTTAGCCTTTAAGGAAAATAAGATAGGCCACTTCAAGAACACATGCATTTTAACACATTTTATTAAATTAAATTGAGACAACAATCACCGGTTTAATTAGGCCTAGGCCTAAAATGTTCACAGAGTTTTTTTGTTTGCATAAGAATTTATACATCTAGGCCTACAATTAGTCAAGTTAGTGAGGTTTTACTGTTACAAAACAACACTCATGATTTGTTAGTATGGTTAATATATGTTTTGTTCTAGTTTCAAACAAACCAAGGCCGTCAGTTGGGATTCTCTTGACATTTTCCCGGTGGGATGGTGTGATAGCAACTCTTATCCCTTGAAGGCTCCAAAAATGACATCTCAAGTCGTTCTCAACAAATCATCTAAGAGGTAAGTGTTATTAAGGATGTATACTCCTTACTAACTGTGTTGTTTACAAGAAAAGCGATGATTTGCATTATGCAAGGAAAATTACTCTTATAGCTTTTGAAGCTTCATTTATTTCTGTGATTGTAACAGCCTGCCTAGTGTCACAACATCACAACTGAAGCTTAAACCCTGGGTCAATGTCCCCAGGGGCTATGTTGATTGTAATACACCAACATCAATTCACAAACATTGATTCGTCCTAGAGTTTGAATGTAGGAGTTTGTTTTAAAGTAGCCTAAAAACTTTTTTTTTAGATTTATTACATAAAATAGGACTGATTACAGTAATTCTTACTGTATAAAAGTCTTTGAGCTATATTTTAGCAAGTAAATATGAATCGTATTATATTTATGAATATTTGTATTTTTCACGAATGAATTTTAAATTTACACTTGATCAGAGAAGAGACTCCAAAAAAGGCGCAAAGCTCTACAGAGAAATCAAGCTCGTGGTGTCCCAAGATTTACTTCAATCACACGTGTTTCTCTGGACCCTTCCTGTCCAAGAATCGTCTGGCAGGATTGCCTCGCCATGTGGGGCCTGGACCTGTTGTCCTCGTTATGAAGGTAACTTCAATTATTATAAGTACCAAGATCATACCTGCAAATCTTATCAGTGTATTAATAGTCAATAAGAAGCTATATATTTTTTCTAGTAGATATTGGTTAGGCTTATTATTAAACCCTACAGGGAGACAGAAGTTCAGTCCCAGAGTTAAAATTGACCTTGAGATTTGCTTACCTCTTTTGCCGAGGCTGGAGGGGGGTAATAATGAGGGGGGGGGAGTAATAGGCATCAACATTATTTGCTGTTTGCTCCGGTTGTAGGACATTCAGTCCCATGGTCCAACTACCAAGAGGATATAAAGATTGTAGATGTGTTAGTATTTGTTTGAGTTAGATTAGGGTTAGTAGACCGATTTTTTACCGGTCGTCCAAATTCCAATAGTGAACCACAGGCGGGAACGGGACCTTGCACACACGCCGACCGCTGATCGGCGCCGGTAAAATGCCGATGAGCAGCCGGCCACTGCCTCTGCATACCGCCGGTGCCGGGGACGCAGTGGTGTATGTAACTAAATACAAGCTTGCACATGCACCGATTTTTTACCGATCGTATCGGCAGTTTTCGCTACACCATCCTCCATTTAAGGTGACTGCTATTCTGAAATTTTTAATTAGTTTTGGTAGTGCGTGTTTATAACGTTATAAATGGGCGACTTTATAGATATGGATGCTATTGAGATTCTGAAATAGTTGAACATTTTACTGCTATCAAGCCTTAGTTCTTCAAAAAGTGTGTGGAATGTCCCTTTTTTTTCTCTGCTTTGATTAATTGGATGAATCCAGAACATACGTTTAATCCTATGGCGCTTAATACGTCGATACAATAGCCACATAGCAACAACTCTTTTAGGATTCATTAGTATAATCTAATTACTAAATAAATAAATAAATAAATTTATTAATTAAATTAAATTATTAATTATATAATTAATAAATTAATTGGGTAATTAGTAATAATCTGGTCTCGTCCTTGACACAACAACAAAGCAACTGATCGTTTCGCCGGTAAAAATCCGGCGTGTGTGCAAATAGCTTAACACCGGTAAAATATCGACCTACTTTTTACCGACCGTCCAATATCGGTGTGTGTGCAAATAGCCTTTGAGTACCGTATCTCACGTTTACCTGCTCCAGAGCTAATGCAGATTAGTGAGAGGACCATAACCCAAAATATTTTACGAGTGATCCTTGGCTAGTAGATGCTAGGACTGATTGTCCTACTGCCAAACAATACATAACACTGTTTCTTAACATTGTTAATTTTTTAATTAAAAGAAGGTACTGTATTTTAACAAAGATTTTACCGTTGCAGTAATTGGAGATGCTTAATGTTTTCAAAATTACTCAATCATCAATCTTTGTCAGGTTTTTTAATGACTGGTTTTCAATATTATATTATCAACCCCATTTTCTGTTACAATATCACTTAGGGGAATGTTTGTTTATATGTTAACTAACACAGTTGTGTGGAACTAGGAGGTTCTGTCTATGCTGATATCAGTGGCTTATGTCAGCTCACGAGTGTTGAAGGAGCTTCAGTGTTCTGGTCCTGCTCGACCTGGAATGCATCAGGAGATACTCAAGGCAAAGTAAGTCAGTCAGTTTCTCAGTACTAAGTGTTTCTTAGATGCCTCGGAAGTTTTTTAAACAATGGCCTTATCTTGATATTCTGTTTTACAGTTTTATCAGCTCTGTAATTTCATATTCTTAGTTTACAGTATGAAATCAACCATATACAGTAGAGTCTGAATTATCTGACCTTTCATGTTGTCCAACCCTCCTTGTGACGATTATGTGTAAAAAAATCATGTGCTATTTACATGTGGAATGACTGTACACCATAGCACTCACATAAAGAAACCTGTCCTGTTAGTACTCAGAAGATCTGTAGTGCCAAAAGTTTGAGGCACTTGAACTTTGTTGTACTTGTTGGTTTCTTTAGCGCATTGTATTCAACACAGTTTGTCATCTGAGCCCGCTGCGGCTTTACTTTAGTTCCAACTTGTGATTGGTGTGCAGATACAAGACCAATGTGTACCGAGCGTCTGTGGAGATCTGCACGTCTGCAGACAAGGTTGGTGAGTTCTGCATGGAGGTGTGCCGTAAGCTGCAGGTCTGTCCACACCTCATCAGCCCTGAGCCTGTGGGCTTCAACTGTCCGGAAAAGTGTCACACACTCTCGAAAACTAGATTCTGTAAGTGATTGGCCTACTTCAATTACAAAGATAATTTTTGCATGTTATGCAAAAACATTGCTAGCTAGCTCTTTTTGGCTTTACCAAACATTCGGTTAAAATAAATTGAGTTAATTTCTTTAATATGTATTATATTCAAAGGTTACTTTAAATGGGTTGTAAATTATGATTACCAATTCAACATGACTATAATGCATTTAGAATGTCTGACACAAGAGTTTTGTATTAAGGTTTTGATATTTTATCAAATTACAAGTACTGTATTAGAATAACGAGGAAACGTCAAATCTTTTCTAGGAATGGACAGGATAATATTTGTAATTTGGGGTGGGTTTTTATTTTCTTCTTGATAATTTCTTGGGATTAGATTTTTTTTGCACCAAAGAACTCTTTACTTTGTTTTTTTATTTGCACTGTTCTATGTCATTATGAAAGTAATCAGTATTCATAACTACAGTGATATGCAGAGAAAACACCATCGCTATAGTGGCAAAATCATAAACCTCTCCCCCCTCTTGAGATCACAAAGACATAATTATTGTCTCTCGCAATAGCGGCAAAATTGTGGAGACATCATAATCGTCTCCCTTGATCATGGACAAATCATAATAATCTCCCACAATTATTGCTAAAACATCTTGATCATCATCTTGGATACTGAAGATCTTCATCATCACTCGCAATTGAGGCTGACAGTCTGACCAAATTCTGTCCCGAGAAGAACCCGAATTAGTAGTACTACATGTAATTTAGTAGTAGTAGTATGTTTCTCATTATGATATGAAGAGTTCTGTGTGAATGCTGTTTAGATGATCAAACTATAATTCTAAATTACATGTCCTAGTGTCCGTGTCAACAGCGTCTTCTCAATCTACTCTGACAGGCCAACGCAAGCCAGGTCGGCCGCCAGACTCCCGCAAGAACACTCAGTTCCAGTGGCCGCGCAGACCTCCCTCCACACGCAGGGAGTACCTGTCTGCGTTCAAGAAGGGGGACAAATCTGATGGTAAGCAGCAAACCAATCCTCAACATTTTACTTTGATTCTGACTACTTATTTAGTTTAGGAGTTACAATAACACATTGCACAGTACACTCAAACTAATCCAGAACTGGTTGGAACCATGTAGGGTCAGATTAGTGAGGGTGACAAATTAATCGAGTGTCATAAAAATAAATTGTTATAAAGCACAACAAATTTGAAATTTCACTGTAGCCTATGTATTACTGCAACCATCATATTACAAACTTATTGCCAGCCACTCTTTAATCTATTATCAAAATCATATGAAAAGGTATTGGATAAAAATATAGTGTCCAACTAATAGTATTTCTAGTTTGGGATGGGTATTCCAAAAGTCGATTCTCGATTCCACCGATTCTAGGCTTTGGAATCGGAATGGTTTTTGCTCGGAACGGGAACATGTCAACCGTTAGTACGACAGGCCTGATCGGTTTTTGTAAATATTTTAAATGTTTCGTATTGTTCGTATGTGTTACGTGTTTCAACTTCAACGACGCTACTTCAGCCGAGTTTTTGTTTTTGTAGTCTGACGATGGCATTGTAATGCCAAAACGGCCGTAACGTAGTTAGGCCACAAGAATTTGAGCTGCAGTGACGAAGGTAAAGCCTATTTTAGTTAAAAGAGATGTTTGTGTTACAGAGCCGAAATAATTCTTTTAAAATCCAACAACACCGAACGACCACTAAAACGGTGTCAGAGTACCGAATTTAGAATCATTCCTATAGCTCCGAAAGCAAACTAATTCCATTTAATGCTGAATCCCAAATCTTTAAATTCTTTCGGCTCTAAAGGACGTTTGAAACTTTCTTTTGGCGTTGTGACACGATTTTGCAAACAAAATCCTAACCAGCCAAACAATAGAAGCCCCACCAATCTTCTCCCACTACACTGTTTAGTGGACGAATCCACTACACAGACTTCAGTACTTAATTTTACTTTTAATTAATTTTTTTGATTATAATTATTTTTATAATTAACTTTATTCTTTAAAATTACTCTAAATAATAAATTATATCTCTTTGAATAATCTTTCTCTAATTGGATAGAGCTTGTACAATGTCATGTGTAGTGAAATAGTATCCAGCAAATTTGGAAGTACAGAGAAATAATGTCGTTGTTAGTTTCATTGGATGTTATTGGGTTTTATTTATATATATATTGTATGTCAAATGAGAGGGAGAAACTACAAATAGGGGCACACGGGGAATACTTGCAATGGGGTGCAGTCAGACTAGTTACGCCACTGGGAGAATGTTCTATTGTTCGACACTATAGGACTGTTGCCGCATTCTTTTGGCTCTGTAACACAAACATCTCCTCTTTTGGCGCTGTAGGAATTTAAAATCCTACAACTTCGAACATGATATTTGGCAAATTGGGACTAAAACATGATTCGGTACTATAGGATTAGGTACAGAAATAACCATTCGGCGCTATTGGATTCCAAACCCTTTTAAATCTTATAGTACCGAATTGTTTTTAATAACGTCCTATAATGCCGAAAGAATGTTTAAATCGTCCAATAACATCAAACAATTGAGCACTATTACATTTGGCACTATAGGATTCGGTGCTATAGGACCACAGCCACATCCTGCTGTAAGGCAGTCCCAGACCACCTTAGACTTGAAGTTGCAGCAGTCAAGCACCTTGAGCACAACCTGGCTGTCCGAGAAAATGTAATGTTCATGTCTTGAGGTACCCGAACTCAAAATTCAATCCCGTCTATCCCTAAAACTATATTTAAAATAACGGAATCAGAATTGGAATCAAAAATTTCTGAAATCAACCTACAGTAGAGTCCCGTTAGTCCGAAATGGTTGGGACCGGGCCCATTTCGGATTACCAAATATTTCGGATTAAACGTTTTTTTTTTTTTTTTTTTTTTTAATTTTTTGGGATTGTTTTTCAGATTACTTAAGGCTAGACCTAATGGCTGCAGCATTATCACTTCATAAAATCCAATTGTGATTTGGCGGGATTGGAACCCGGGACAAAAATGAAAAATGGTAATAACAAAAATGGTGAAATATTTACTATAATACTCTACAAAAAAGTCTATCTCGCCCGGCCGCTATAGAATACTTTGACGAGGTACAGCTAACTGTGTTAAAAGTTTATTAAAAAAAATTCAAAAAATTTACAAAAAATTGTCAAAAAAAATATATTTTTTGGTTAGGATTAAGCAGACTTTTGGATTACCGAAGTTCAGATTATCGGGACTCCACTGTATTACTATTTGTAATATTGGGTAGCCTAGTATGTTGTTTATTGTGTATATTTTTTTATTTTAGCGAATTTCCCTATAGGGAAGTAGCTATTACCGTAGGTGGCACGGTAAGACCTAGGCCCGAGACCGATTTACTTTTTCATTTTGATGTCCCCAGAGGCCAAAAACACTATTCGTTCAAATTTTTATAGATGTTCATTAAAAATTAGATTATAATAATATTATATAAAATTCTCGTGTCACAGTGTTTGTCTGCAAACTCCTCCGGAACGACTTCACCGATCGTTATGAAATTTGGTGTGTAAATTCTGTAGGTATGCGAATCGGACGTAAACTATTTCCCGTTTCGAAATTCATAAAAGGGCTCCGCCCCAGTGGCTCTGGAGTTTCCCATGTTATATTGTTTTTATCAAACCCAAAGGTGAGTGAGCGTAGCGAACGAACTTCAACCTGGAGGCGAGTTAGCGTAGCGAACGAGCTAACCTGAAGGCAAGTGAGCGCAGCGAACGAGCTCCAACCTAAAGGTGAGTGAGCGTAGCGAACGAGCTCCAACCCAAAGGTGAGTGAGCGTAGCGAACGAACTTCAACCAGGACGTGATTGAGCAATGCGAACGAGATCATCTTGAAAATTAAACGTAACGGTACTTTCTTTCCATCGGTATGTCTTAGGGGAAACCTATAACTTAGGCGATACGAAGTTCGCCGGGTCAGCTAGTATATATATATACGTCCGTGAACGCGATAACTTGAGTAATTTTTGTCCGATTTTGATGAAATTTGGTTTAAAGGTGTAAAGCGGGATAAACTTGAATGAGTTCGCGAACCAGCACGATTGGACCATGGGAACGGGGCTTTACGGGGGGTTTTATGGGGTAAAAATTGGTTTTTCTCACTTTTGACCCTCAAAACACAAAATTTCCCAATTTCTCTTTAGACCTTTTTAAAGAGCTTAAAAAAACAAATAATTTAGTATATAAAAGTATTTTTGTTCGATTATTAGTAACGGAGAAAATTTAAAAATTGTAAATTCAAAATTCCCATGTTATTCTTATGGAGAATATTGTCAAATGTTGTAGTTTGCTTGTTTATGAATATATTTTGATCAAACTTGGCAAATTTTTTTATTTTGTACTAAGCTATCAATATTATACTCAAAAACACACTTAAGTTAGTTTCCTTGTAGCAGCAAACCTAGGTACTCGTTAAACCTAATGTTATTAAAATATATTTAACTGAAAATCAATTCAGACGAATGGAAATTCGCTTAGTCAGCAGGTTTGCTGCGGCGGGGGTATTTACGCATATTTGTTGTCAAATGTAACTGAAGGCAAGTGAGCGCAGCGAACGAACTCCAACCTAAAGGTGAGTGAGCGTAGCGAACGAACTTCAACCTGGAGTTGAGTGAGCGTAGCGAACAAACTTCAACCTGGAGGTGAGTGAGCGTAGCGAACAAACTTCAACCTGGAGGCGAGTTGAAGGCAAGTGAGCGCAGCGAACGAGCTCCAACCTAAAGGTGAGTGAGCGTAGCGATCGAACTTCTACCAGGACATGATTGAGCCATGCGAACGAGCTCATCTTGAAAATGAACGAGCATTTGACTTAAAACCACATTAGGACAGGACGACGTCTGTCGGGCCAGCTAGTTTAGTATATTGAAGCGTTAAATGCGCCTAATGGTTATGGAGAAAATTCCAAAAAACTGTAAATTTTTAATTCCCATGTTATTCTTATGGAGAATAAGTAAACTGTTGTAGTTTGCTTGTTTATGATCATATTTTGATCAAATTTGGAAAATGCATTCATTTCATACTAAACTACTAACATTTTACAAAAAACACCTTTTTACCCTCCCTGTTGTAGCAAACCTAAGTACTCGTTAAACTAATGTTATTTAAATAGGGAATAAATGTGATATTTTTAAGGAGACATTTGAGTGTAAATCCAATCAGGCAAATATGGAAATTCGCTTAGTCTGCAGGTTTGCTGCGGCGGGGGTATTTTTTTATTACAGTAGGCCTACATTTATTTAGTTTATAGGAATGTTTTGTAAATCTAGTTTTAATAATGGACAATGTCACCTGTTTCATCAGCATTGCTGAAAACTTGAAATGTATTGTGACAATAAAGGAATATTTCATTTCATTTCATTTCATAAGTGTAGTGTAAATATAGTGTTTGGCTAACTACTCAAAACTGTTATCATAAAATCTTTTTTAATTTTACTCTAAATTTGAACTTGGAAACAATTAATTCTATAAGCCAAATTGCCAAACAATGATACACACAACAATATGTTATGAGTTTCGTCATACATTTACATTTACACATGACATGACCAAAATATCTAACAGAGTATTGCCGACATCACACTCATGACCGTCCTGTTTTAGGAATGACAAAATAATACATAAAATACTGGTGGTGCCGGATTGGCAAATGTTCCGATTACCAAGAATTTGAATTAAGTAATATACTAGCTGTTAATATGACTTGCCACAGGTCTGAGTGACTCACGCAGTGCCAATGAAGACGAACCCCCGAAGGACAAGAGGATGCGTTATGAAACTCGAGGCATCAAACTTCCCAACTTTGGTCTCAAATCTAGTCAGATCAGACAATCTTTAGGAAATGGTGATGTTAAAAGCAACACTTCTGTGTCATTGTAAGTGTTCATTTTAATCAATATTTAGGTGCTCAGTTAAAATAATACTATAACTTAACTAATATCATTGACTTGTGTGGTCAATGTTAATATATACCTAATAATGATTAAGCAAGCATTGAGTAGTAATTTTAATACAAATAAAAACCTTCAATGGGGGTTCTCCTTTTGGTTTAACAACTTTTAATGAATAATTTATAAGTGTTGATCGATTAGGTACACCTCATTGTGTTTGAGTAAGGTCAAGTTGTTTGTATACTATATTTCATTTATTCAATAGGTTCCAACATTTTTGTGATTGGAATTCCTCATTTTTATGCTGTATGTTTTAGGCTTAAATTTGTCCTCAAATAAAAATATATACGAAAGAGGGAATCAAATAAACTTTAGAAAATGTTTATAATTTGTCAATACAATCTCTGTTTAATATCTTCTTTTTGGGTACGGTATTGGATTGATCCAATGCTAGACCTTTATCCACACATATGGGATTGGCGTACATCCAGCAAATATGGAATGTTGTTGAGACTCTTTCTGCTCTTGGGGAAGGTCTTTTCTGACATTTTGACAATCATTGATTTGAGCTTTGCCACGGGAGTGCTGTAAGCAGCCATTGGATTTAAATACCACCTTTAGTTTAGCATTTGTCAAAGTACGTTTGGTATATTTTCAGCAGCAAATGTGTTATAAATAAAGAATGTTAGAGGTCTAATAAAGAGACCTCTAACAGGTTTAATAAAGAAGGTTAAAGCTTGAGATTTTCAATCATGCCGAGCTTTTGAAAAAAAAGGTCGAGTCTCCAGCTTTATCTGAGCCGAGCTTTTTTTCTATCATGAAATAACACCATTCCCAATCACAGCAAAATCCGGAATATCTCCCGTAATCGCGTGGTCATTATCGTTGTCTTCCGCGGTCGTGGAAATGTTATCGTCGACACAATCATGAATATCTCCCGATGTTCTTCATGAATATCTTCATCATCAACTTTTGCAGTTACAGAAATGTTATCAGCACCATTCCCAATCACAGCAAAATCTGGAATATCTCCCGTAATCGCAAGGTCATCATCATTGTCTCCCGCGGTTATGGTAATTTTATTATTGTCATCCCCATCATAGGAAAATCCTGAATATCTCCCACGGTTTGTAGACATTAACGTTACATCCGCATAGTTTCCGCGATCACAGAAAAATGGCTATCTCCTGCGGTTTATAGACATTAACGCCGCCCTCCGCGGTTGCGGATACATCATCGTAGTCTTCTGCGATCGCAGCAAAATCCTTGACATCTGCAGTGGTATACACATAGTCATCGTTTCCCGCGATTGCGGAAACGTTATGAATGTCATCCGCTAACGTGGCGAAAGTGTGAACTTTTCGCTCGTGCGAACTTTGTAGTTGCGTTTTACGATCGCGATTGTCAAAGCTTGACTCGAGCTCAATTTTCCGACTTGTGCTTGTAGGCTAGGCTTGGCTCGGCTGGAAAATCGGCTGCTCGCACAACTCTATTCAATGTTAATGTTTCTGAATAAATATCTAAAACTTGTTAAACCCCCCTTTCTTATCAAACCTTCAAATTAATCTTCGAATATACCTTCAAGTTATCTCATCCGCAATGAAGATTATTTAGTTTGCTCCTTTGTTGTAGATTTAACATGAATTTTGTTTTAAATATTATGAGACCTGATCATTTAATTGCTTTCATGCAGATCAGAGATGTCAGTTAGTAAATCAATGAATTATTCAGAAGGCAGATTTGACCTCGGCTCCAATCAGTAAGTTTGTGTTAGCAATCTCAGGGTTTAAGCTGATGTACAGTAGTTTGCACTTTTATAGGTGTGCTTTCATATAGGTTTGTATATATTTTTCTGTTGTTGTAAATTTCAGATATGGTTTTAATTATAAGTATTTTGGGTCTCCTAATAATCTTTAAAAAATGTTAATTTTTATTTATAACCTAGAATGAATATATTTGTTGATACATTCATCATGCCTCTGTTAGACAGTTCCAAGCAAGCATATAGCAATCAATTTTTTTTTTAAATAGGCAAATTATGTAAAATACCTCTCCCCAAATTGATGCAGCCTTGCTCCCCATTAGTGGTAATTCATCTGAGACTCTTGGATTGGATACCTTTTGTGGTATAATTTTTTGCAAACACCATTAATTAAATAAATCTTTCAATTTAGACTATTCATCTCTGAAGGTTTTTATTGTGGAACTACAAGGGTCATTTTTAAAGGAACCGTTTTTGCGTATAGCTCCATAGTTCGCATGTACGTCGCAACAAGTCTCCTTGCCGCTTACTGGCATTTTTTGTGAATCCACAAAAAAACAGTGTGTCACCATTTGCAGCTCTGTAGCTGACGTAAATGCTTCACTGTGTGCTTGGAAAATTGTAACTATTTTGAATCACCTGCCGCATTTGAGATAAGGTCAGTGATGCGTTTTTGACTAAAAGAAACATATTCAATGGTGACATGCATTGCCAAATGACTGATAGTTATGGCCCTAGTACGATGATTGAGGGTTAAGTGCGGAAATGGGTTAGTAAGTGTAAAAAAATGGCCGTAAAAACATCAAAACCTTTATCCACTGTGGCTTTTTCCTTCTGCCGGTTAACTAATTTCTGGGTTATAGTATGCGTTCAACTAACTTAATTATTTGCCAATCATCTATGAAAATTTTACCCAAACACAAGTATTATTCAGGAAAAATTCTTTACTGAAATAAGTTGAAACTACTTGATGGTTACGATCATTTCATTCTGTTTTTATCTGTAAAACTAAACTAACATTTGTTTATTAATTTTACCTTTTCCACTTCAGTGCCAAATATCTCCTGTTTTGTATTAAGATTAATGTGAGATTATAAATAAACAAAATACTTATAAGGCATTAGTGAAACTGTGCATATTATAATGGTATACATTCTCAAATGTGTTTATACCTACTATTTTCAAAAGTTCCAGCACTAACTTTATTATTACTTTAGTAATCACTTATTCTTAAATTGAAAACTATTTTCATTCTGATAGCTCAGTAGACTGGCCCATCCTCATTACACTTGATGTAGTTCACTTAATTTTTCTGTCCCATAAAAGAAAGCTTAAACCCTGGATTGTTTTTTGTTTGTTTGTTTTTAAACCCTGAATTCTGTTTGTGAAATAGTATTATTTTATTTTTCACTGCATGTGTATGTTGAGTGAGTTTTGAATTTGTTTTATTATTATTGTTGACATTGATGATACAAGAACTAAAAAGTGGTTGTACAATCTGACTACATGAAACGCTATCTTTAGCATCAAGCATACACAACCGCGCGATCTGCAATGTTAGTAATTTACTAAAATTAGATATGTGCTAATAAATAGTTATTTATCAAATTATTGACATTTCTTCAGCATGAGTAGTGTTTCAAAATGCCAATAATAAAATAATTAATTACACCCTTAATTAACACTTGGCCTATACAATGTAATTCAAATTGTGTAGGTAATCCCTGTTGCCGTCAGCGTAGAAACAATGTTATGTAGGTGTCAACAAGTGTAACTACATCGTCAATTGCATCTCCAACAAAATTTACATTACTTGTCCACGAGTCTCCCTATATTCTCAATGATAATAATAAAGGCAGTGACAGTGTTCTTTATTTTATATAGTGAGAGGCTTTATCTTTTATATAAATTGTTTAGGGATGTAAACAACTCAAGCTAGTCATTATTGTTTGTTTAGTATATTCAAACAACACTTGATACTGATCAAAAGAATGTGACTCAAGGACTTAACTTTAAATGTCTTGATGCAAAATAATGCATAAAATAATACAGCAATGATGCCCTTTGATTTTAATTAAGAAAACAACATATTATAATATTTTATAAAGCACTGCAACTTGTTAGCCTATAATGAATTTTCCTGCATTAAAATACAGAAATAATTCAAAAAAAATATAAAGTTATGCAAATATATTTTTACATTAAAAAATAGTGCATGTATCAATTGTGTGACTGAGTCATGCATGTTCATTATACAACTTTCTTGACATTACTTTTCTGGCAGTCAATTTTGACCTTTTAAAAAACCAATTTTCCATTACCGTACCTGTTAAGTTATTAACAAACGATTTATATTGTCCCCTTGCAGATACTACTATGAATATTTTAGTTACCGCTACTTTGGTAGCTAGCTTTGACCATATAATGGTATCTATTTATGACTGCTTACAATACAATTCCTTGTGAGGAAATTTAATATTTTAGTGTGCTATCCAGTAAGTAACAGACGTTCTAGTCAGGGATGTCAGTGGGCGGGTCGAGCGGTACCACCTTAGTGTCAAAGTGATCTTTAACTCAGTTCCAATTCAGCGGTGTTCAGTGTGAAACATGTCTTACCTGCAATGAGATGTTAAAATCGCCACTGTGAAAGTCCTACCAGTAAAATTGCCTTTGTAGTATTCATTTTGTTAACAAAATATCAAAACCAACTGGAATGCATTTTAACACTGGTTACACAGTGGGCGGTTTTAAAATGCCGACACCCACATGTCTGGGAAAATACCGCTAATTTCTGTAGCTAAAGTTTTTCGGGTGTAATTGTTATTTAATTTATTAAGTCCTTTAATTTAATCTATAGCTTATTGTGTAGTTGCTTCTGTTCTATGTTTTATAATTGTTCAGATATTTTAATGTAAATATGGTTTAGTTAACAAATTATTAGTTTTTGAACTATGAAATGAACAGGCAAACATTTTTTGCACTTTTGTTATACCGTCGATAGAAAAGAAGGCAACAGAAAAATCACCTTTTTTGGATCCACTTTATAAACGAAAGAAGAATAGAAGTTTGCACAATTTGTACGTTTTTTAAAAAGATAAAGAACAATTTTTTAACTATTTTTGTAAATCCATTATGTCATGTGACGAGCACTCGACCACATTTAAGTCAAAATACAAAGGAAAAATACTAAAATGAGGAATTGTGTGCAATGTGTGTTGCTGTTGACAACTTCCAGTTGATTGAGGAAATGGTAGAATAACCGCAAAATGTGTAAACGCCCATAGTCTCTAGCTTGTCGGGAAGTTAGTATAAAATTGATTTCAAAATTTGTACCGGACAAGAAAGCGAGCTAATAAAAACGTTTTAACATGTTATTATAGTTGTCACCTAATTATCAGCTGACAGATGTGTAATGAGTTTTGTTATTTTTGGTTACTAAGAAGATAAAAAAACAAAACAAGAATCAGTATATTTTAAGCTTCCCAAAAAGAAAAAAAAAAACTGATTCAATTTATTTGTACTAAACAATTGCTTGTTACTTTAAAAAGTATGTTGAATTAAATAAATCATATTTGGTGGAAAATCTTTAGACTTTTCATTTCAGGTGTATTTTTTCTGTATAATAAATAAAGTCTTATTTTAATATGAGGTTCTTTCCACTAAATAGTCATGCATTTGATGATGTGCCGGCATCAAAATTCAAAATTATTAATATTTTACCATTACAGAATTTCCAAAGATTTTATTTGAATATCACAAAATTACTGTTGCCATAAATAATAGATATAACCATTAACCCTCCGAGGGTCACGCGTCGAGTTTAAGACGCACAACACACTTTGTGTAGGGTCACGCGTCGAGTTTAAGACGCACAAACATCGTTTACGGCGAAGGCTCTATGACTGACTGAATCGGATTGAACTGGATCGAGTTAGGTATCGTTCTTTCCGTAATATTCTAAGCTTTCTCCAGAGGTCTGTCTCTAAGCGCTATTCATTTTAGTTCCGAAAATATTGTAGCAGACAGCTGACGTGCGTGCGTGTATTTGTAAACAGCTAGGTTCCCCCGGACCGATGACTGATGTGTTTTATTACGTTTATCATTGTTTTAGTGTTAAAAATCAAAAGTAGTGATATACGTGGTGCATTATAAGAAGATTAAGGTGGTTTTGAAGTGCTGGTTGATGATCCTGAAGAAGTAGGTAGTGATATTGATGTAAATTATCAGCCAGATTCCTAGCTATGGTTAGGCTATGCATTCTTAGCTAAACGCTATGTACTGAAATCCGTTTTTCGCTCATAACTTATTTATTTGATAACTTACCTCGCTATATGATTATATATTTGTAATCCTCATTAAATTTAGAACAAAGTGGCTATTTTCAAATATTTATAGGCCTATAATTTATACAATTTCATTGAGCGCGAACTTATTTTTTTTTTTGAAAATTTTCAAAATTATATTTTTTTTTACCTAAAAATTTTTTTTTGAAAAAATGTTCCTTATGTTTTATATATAATATTGAAGCCCATGATTTTCCAAACAAAATGGTATATAGAACATTAGAATTAACATTGTTTTAAGCTTCTCAGATCCGTTTTAATAAAACCTTGCAAAGGGGCCAAAAATAGGTGGACATTAAGGCCTAAACTATGGACACTCGGAGGGTTAAAAGTTGAATCCAATCTACATAACAATGCAAACCAGTTGTAACTTGTAAGAATAGCATATAGCTATTACCATAGATAAAACATACTCCCTCATACTTGTGTTGCTTAGTCTATGCTATTACATAGAGGGTATTCAGTATTAACACATTCACTACCAGGTGTCAGGAGTCTATACATACAGTGGGATGTGACGGCCGTTAGTGAACCTGTTAAACAGCTTTTGCCATAAATTAATCTCCTAATTAGTGTGGAAAATATTTAGTAATATATAGCCTAAGCTAAGAGTTCACTTTTAAAATGCATTTCAAAGTAGTACCTATGTGTAGATCTGAAAATGTAGCTAGGAAATGATGTTGGTACAAATTCAACATAAAATCACAAAATAAAATATTAATTTTTTTAATACCGTATTCAATTTTCCTCAAATCAAAATTTTTGCCAAAACAGTTTACCAATTAACAAAAAACATTGATAGTACAGTATTTTTGCAATATTTGAACATGGTTTGCTAAGCAATCACAATAATGCAGATTTTTTAGGTGAACAAATTAACCCTTTATCCTCTGGACTGAAACTAGAGTTGTCAAACTCTACCGACAAAGACATCAAATTACATTCTGAAAAGTTTAATAAGAGCTTCCATTGTATTTCCACTGTCAATCTCTCTCTCTCTCTCTCTTCGAGTCTGATGAGGATTGTATTGTCCAGACAAAACTAAATGTATTAATCATTTATATTACTACATATTCAACAGACCATATTTTAATGCAGGAGTGTAAAGATCATGTTGAAAGTGTCTTTAGGACTTTTTAATTTACAATCATAACTTACTGCATATCCATAAGATATGTTTATTTTTCAGCTTACCGGGTCCAAAGAAGCGAGGGCGAAGATCTAAAGCTGAGACTGAAAGACTAAAAAAGGTTGAAGAACTGGTTCAGGAAACAAAGATGGATGATTCCCAGTACCATGTGGAAACAAATCCTTTGCGGTGGACTGTAGAAGATGTGTACCAATACATGAAACGCACACAAGACTGTGATATCCTCGCCAACCTTCTACGAGATGAGGTTTGTTTTGTTTTTTTACCACAGACATTTTTTTTAAGTTATTTTTTTATTATAAGAAAAATTAATACCTCAGTATCTCCTTCTAACTCCCACCTGTACTGTTTGACAGGAGTTTGATGGCAAGGCCTTGATGCTGTTGAACCTTCCATCGTGTCTAGAGGAGCTAAATCTTAACCACAAGATGGCATTAAGGCTGTGTCGACATGTTGAAGCTGTTAAATTTGCTTTTTACAGCAGATTTGTTACTGAAAATCCTTCTTAGACTCCCTCTCATTGCTTGTAAATATATTTAAAAATCTACGTTGACACAAAAGATTTACAGACAACAGTTCAAAATTTGCATTTGTGTCAGTAAACCTTGTTGGGGTCATAACAGAATTGTATAAAGACAAAGATTATTGACATGCGTTAGATTTGTTCATTTTACATTTTAAGTATTTTCAAGGAATGTATCAAATGCACAACTTTTTTAAGTACTCTTAAAAATTAGTTTTTAATGTTTTACTTGGAGGTTTTGTGACTTCAACTTTGATTGATGATTGTTTTTGTTCCTGAAAATATAGTTTGTACATTTGCTCTGCTGTCTTCAATTCATTATCCTTATTTCACTGTCACGAGTATATATCACACAAAAGTGAACCTCTTGTTTTATTTACAAGTCTACGATCACACTTATCGAAGGTGCACAAGTTGGAATAATCATATTTTGTCTTAGAGGTAATGTTTGGCATAAAACCTTTAACCCATTTCACATGGAGGTAGCTATATTGCTAACCCCTCTACTTGCGCTATAAATCAAATTAAGACGGTTGCGTCAAGCGACCCGCTGCCTGTGATTACTTGCGAAAGAAAAACTTACATGTCTTGGAGCATTTGCAGGTCGAGGCAACAAATGTAGCACCTACTGTAACCAGGTCGTCACAACTTAATTTATTCACAACCTGGTCCAGATGATTAAGTCACCAAGTGTAGCCATAGCCAAAACCAACCTTTATTTTCTAGCAAAACCATACTAAAATATTTTATTTATTTACACTACACATACTTAACATACACATAACACTTCAATTTTTGACAGTCAGAATTCAGTCAGTTGTGGAACAATTATTTCTAAGAGGCAATATGATAACAACGAGATTCTAGAGGTGTGCATTGACAGCTGGGTAGGTTTTTACACCACCACCTCTTGTGGTAGCTAAGGACAGGACACAAACATACTCGTATTTTTTTTTAAGTGCAGAAGTTAAGCACTATTTTAATCAAGAATCAGTACTTGAAAAAATGTATACAATATTTAACCTTCAAATGAGACTTATGAGGCTTAAGAAACAAACACTAACCTAAATGAAACTCAAACCCATAAAAATATATAATCGACATGTGGTAACTAGACACAACCAGGGTCACTAAAAAGGCCTTATGAAAAAATTCTAAAAAGTTCTTATAAAAAAGGCCTTAAAAGCCTTGGACACATTTTTTGGTTGTTATCAAAGTGATTGTTTAACAAGAATATAGTGTCGTCCAAGCATACTTAATTTGTATTTGGACTAGGTGAACCTAAGTGGGTATGAAGAGAAGAGAGAGAAAGGAAATAAACTTTTAGAGAAGGTTAAGATTTGGACGAGAGATGAGATTAAAGGTCATCACTGAAGGTCTGAGTTAAATATAGTATAGACCCTCTCTTATCGGACCCTAATGGGACCGGACCGGACCTAGGTCGGATAACTCAAGAGGTCGGTTAAAACAGGCAATCACTAAAAACTTAAAAATGAAGTATTCTGAAGTCGTGTGTGCATTATTTACAAAACAAACTGCACTAATCCCCTTTTTTCTTAAGTAGGCCTATTGAGGAAAGAAAAGCTACAAATAAACCCAAAACATGGTAAAGTCAAATATTTTCAGTGGAATAAATTATAGTCGTAGGCGGAGTCAATAAAAATTCCTATTTTAATAACTTTGCTAATATTAAGTGATTCTTTCCAAATCCATTATATTAGAGTACAGAACTTATTGTCAAAATTAAAGATACAAGAACCATTTTGTTACGAGATAGGATGTTTATTTATAGCCTCTAAAATAACGTATTCTTAGTAACATTCTTTAGAGTTTAGGGTGATGTTCCCATCGCTGAGCGTGGAAGCGGAAATCTAGAGATTTCTTAGCTGTTAAACCGAATTGCTATCAAAACAAGGTCGGTTAAAACTAAATGTAATATTTTATGAGGGAAGGCGGATAAATCTATTATCAGATAATGAGAGGTCGGTTAAGAGGGGGTCTACTGTACCACCTTCAGTACAAAACTCATTGACTCTGGTCCTACTATGTTTCTGAAATATTGAAGAGGACAAGCTAGGTAAAGATGAACTGTACTGTAATGTTCAACCTTTGAATATCAAGGACTCAGTACTTACCAGAAGGACATTGCTATCATGTGCTCAAAAGGTTTTTGATCCTATTGGTTTTACTGCTCCGGTTGGACTGATTCCCAAAATTATTTTGCAAACGACTTGGACGTTGAAGGTAGGTTCAGATGAAGAACTACCTCGTTTCAAAAATGGGTCGAGGAACTTGGCTGCCTGGAAAGGTGCGTATTGAGCAGGAGAATATTTTTGAATGCTTCAAGTACAGTACATGTTTTTTGTGATGCCAGTAAAGCTGCTTTTGGATGTTGTATATTCTTAAGAACCGAAGTAGATGGTATCATTGAAATAAATCTTATATTAGCTAAATCACGAGTTGCACCAATCAAACCAATTACTTTACTTCGTCTTGAGTTAATGGGTGCAATTACTGGTGTGAGACTCTCATGTCTAGCTTTACAGTGTCTCAACAACCCCAAAGTCCCAGTTTATTATTGGCTGGACTCCACCGTAGTTCTAGCATGGATTGCAAAGCAAGGGAAGTGGTCTGTTTTTGTTGAAAACCGAGTGAAAGAAATTAACAGATTGACCCAACTTTCATGGTGGAGACATGTTTCAGGACCTGACAACCCTGCTGATATTCTTTCCAGGGGATGCACTCCTAAAAAATTACTCAATTCTCAATGGTGGCTTGGCTCTCAATGGCTATATGCTTCTCCTGATAAATGGCCATCAGAACGCCCATCACCTGATCCAGAAGAGCTTAAGGAAGAACTTCGTAAATCTGTCGTCCCTGCTAGTTCTGTTGAGCCAATATCAATCGCTCAAATGTTAGGAAATAGATTTTCCAAGTATACTAAGATAGTAAGAACTGTAGCGTGGATCTTGAGAATGTCTCCCAAGAATACATTGAACTTGGGAAATAACATCAGTTCTGAAGAATTCTTGAAGGCAGAAGAGATTGCATTTAAATCGATTCAAAGAGAGAGCTTTCCTGAACGTCTAAAATCTCAAGAGCTAAGTGGTGTACAAACATTTTTGGATGAAGATGGCATCATAAGAATGAAAACCAGAGTATCAGATCGGGAGGAAGGTTTTGAATACCAGTACCCTGCCATTCTACCTAGCAAACACCCTGCTGTTGAGAAAATGATCAGGCAGTACCATTCACAGAATAAACATGCAGGAGTACAAGCATTGATTGTCATCCTTCGTGACAGAGTGTGGATCCTGAAAGGCAGAAGGGCTGTTGGAAAGGTAGTTCACAACTGTGTTCGCTGCAAGCGACACATAGCAAAAGCCTTAGAGATGCCATCACCTCTCTTTTATCCATAGACCGCGGTTCAGTAAACAGCAATTTGTTAAACATTTATGCTCTTAAAATTTTACAAGTTTTTCACGATAAAAGTGTTTAAATAGTTTATTTTTGTAATATATGAACTGAAGAATTAGATGAGGAACTCAATTTACCCATAGTAAGTTTGCAACTCTCAGTAAATTAATAGATTTCAAAGTTTGAAGATTGTCCAAGGTTCATTAACCAAACTTTTTGTGAGTTAGTATTTTGTTTCTTTTGTTTTGTTTGGTTTTAATACCAAAACATATGGTTCTTATGAAAAGGGTTATAATCAAAAGGATACAAAATTAATAGTAGGCCTAATTTGAAATCAAATATAAAATGAAACAAAAAAGTATCATTCCAATGTTATTAATGTTTTTATTGCTAAAAATGACCCTGGTTTGTCAAACAAGAGGAAAATTTCTGAAAAAGCAAGCAATGGATCATCATATCTTTGAAATGGATAGAGTAACGTTTAACTATCTTTCCTTTATATATACACACACAAAATCAAAAACTAAAATTCAGCTAAGTAAACTTAAGTACAAAACAAATAAAAAGTACTGGACATTGCTGCTTAAGAATGAATCATTTGAAGCAATACACTTAGTCAACACAATTGTGCTTCTTATGCTTTTATGTGGTGATATACACCAAAATCCAGGTCCTACAGGAGAAAATATTACAAAAGAACAATGTCCTTTCTGTCTTAAATCATTTACTAGATTAGAATCACACATTAACACTATTCGTGCGGTCGACATGTTTGAACATAAAAGTTGCATTTATTTCAATGTTAAGCAATTGCGGGAATTCCCGTCATCAGCACCCAACGTGTTAAAGCCTCACATAAGGACCAAGCATCAACTGACAAATCAAAGGTATCTTTGCAAAATGGGTCTATACAAAAAGTCACTTACAGTTACAGTCAAGAACCTGGCCCTTCATCTACAAATGAATTTGCTGTAGTGATACCTCCTTCGCGTGATCCTAAGTACACCAGACCTTGTTTGAAATATTACGATGATAATGATAGTGACTCAGAGTCAGATTTTCACACGTCACTCAAACCTAATAACCAATTGACTGATAACCTTAACAATACAAATAATATAAATGGCATGAAAAGCATTGAAAACTTTGAACAAAATACTGACATTGTTCCAAGTAAAAAGAAAAGTATAACATGCCCCCATTGTGGAAAATCGGTAAAAAGTCTAGTTATTCACATAAGCAGAGCCCATGCAACAGTACATAGAGATAAAATAATTGAAAAATACGTTGATGACTTACAAGAAAAGGTTACCCACAAAGTTAAAACCAAATCAAAAGACACTGACTTTCAAAAAATGTTGTGTGATTGGGAAGAAAAATTCGATAAAATAACAGATCTAGATAAAATTGAACAGTTGAATCAAAAAATGAACGAGTTTACAACATTTTTAGCTTCAGCCGTAAACTATTTGCCTGGACCTAAACACGCTGCAATGAAGTATTACAACTTAAGAAAATCAAACCTAAGTTTGAATAATGGTAAAACCTATAAAACCTCAAGCAATCCAATGCGAGCTTCAAAAAGAGAAAAGTCTAAAAGAAAAGAAAAATATTTGTACGAAAAAGCACAATATCTGTATTATAATCAAAGGCGAAAAGCTTGCAGGATGGTTATGGGATCTGGCGATGTATCTTGTAAGATATCTACAAATGATTTGTACAAGGAGTTCCACAATCTTTTTGCTAAGCAAAATACATCAGTTAGAGATCACTACGAAAACACACAATCGACTACTTTTAATGAAGAAGAAGACTTTGAAGAAATAATTGTCACTGCTGAAGAAATGATGAATGCTATGAAATCAATTGCTGTTGACACTTCT